TCATTACATATGCAACTTCAACAAGAGAGGCTTAATCAAAATCTAAATTCTTCGTTCAAAGCAATGCTTCTTTTTATGAGCTTGCATGACAGTGATCTCAAAAACCTAAAATTTAGCTCCAGTGGTCTGTTTACACAGATTTCTAAAGAAATACATATGTGGAAATGAAAGACCATGGCAGTACTGATCCAACAGCATAATTCATTGGTCTTTTAAATCTATGTATCTAATGAAAACCAGAGAATAAAATCACAAAAGCATTGGACACCTCATTTCACAATGTCTTGAACTTCTTATATTTAACCTGGTCTTTAAGTGGGGCAAAGCTGATTCAATCAAGGCTTGAGCTGAAGCCCAGACCAAGGGAAAATATTTCAGAAATTACAGACATTCTGCATTGTTTCTATAACAATCTGTAAATAGAAGATCTGCCATATTTTAAAGGCTGAACCTCTATTGGTTTATAATTATTGGTAATCAACATCAATGGCATTAGCTCATCCTGAAAGGAATGTATTAGAGTTTCTAAATTAGAGATGGAGCTCAAGGCTCCTCAGAATATCACAAAAAGAGCTAAACTCCAAGCCTTATCCTTTCTGTTAAGCACACTTGGACAGATGAGGTCCAAGACACAACACATAGAGGTCTGTAAGAGACATCTTAGCAAACCATTGTGTTTACCAGTCCAACATCAAAAGCTTGTTATCTTAAAAACAAAAATTGGAATTTAGTTGTTTCAATAAGAATTTAACCACTTAATGAAATTACAGCACTGATAACACTTAGAAGCAGTCCAAGTGGTCTTTAAACTTTCCTCATCTAAATATTACACGTCAGGTATTGCTTACTTTGAACATCAGCTGTTTCCTTTTATTAGTATGAAAATCCAAAGTCTAAAGTCACTAGGAAAGATTTGCTCCATCTTCCTACTTCCAGTTTTAATGGTCAATAGTCAAAGTCTCTGTTCATAAACTTTCATGTCTGCTTATGCTGCCCACATTTTATCCTGGCAGTACAGTAAAATGTTCAAGTAAATGTGTAAGTGGAACAAGAGAACTGGACTTTGAAAACTACTGACCAAATGAATCAGTAGCTTCAGTTTTTGGATCATCTATGCATCTTATCAGATTGAACAGAAGAGATCAATGGCATATTTCCTATCAATTTCATATATCTTTTGTGTCAGAGCTCAGAAGAATGTCTTTTAAGGACAAATTCTGATCCCCAATATACCAATGCAAATACCCTCTATAACATTTTTTAAAGTTTCCAGTCAAATCGGTAGAATTATTTGTCAGTTGTTATGCTTAGAGTCAGTAGGTCAAGACAGAAATCAAATGCTTTTTTCCCCTGCAAGGTAGAGAGTACCAGTTCATACTTGTATGTATTTAACACCTACAATTATCTCAATATTCTGTTTTGTCTGCTTTTAAAACCATGGAGACTTACAGGCACACACACCACTCATCTTTGCATGAAGAGAGGAGAATGCAAGATTGTCAATGGTAACACGGAAGCAGCAAACTCACTCAGATTCTTCAGTTTTATGCAGCAGCCACATCCTGCAACAAAAGTAGCGTGCAGCTGTTCTTGGGCACTACGGAGCAACTGCAAATACACGTGCAGCCTCCTTAATTGTTCAAACAGTTCAGTGACACACCTATGCCTTTCACACAAATGTTTTAACACAGTAAAAATTACTTATAATATCCTGGCTGCAAATTTTACTATGTTGGGGCAACTATTCAGGCTGAAGGGTTAGAGTTTATTTTGCGTTTATCATTCAACAGCCTATTGCATTTGAGTAGATTTCACAAGACCAATAAAAAAAAGGCTTCTTATATGGTACCTAGAAGTGATTAAACTCCAGCTTGTGTAGTAATGACCTTTAGCTCCACTCTTCCACGGCTCAGACTGGTTGCACAACCTCAGTAAGAATAACTTTTAAGCAGCATTCAGGGATATCCTACAGTTCTATGTTCATTGGTAGGTATCTAAAGTACACCTCTGAATCCTGCATTCAGTAATGGAGCTCAAACAAGGCTGGAAGACACACTCTTTTTAATTTCTTTTGCTCCCTTTTGGTCTCTTTCTTCATTATTCAAGAGTCAAGTGAATTGCACAAGGGGCAAATGATTACATTTGAAAGATGTGTTAATCTGAACCAGGGATACATTAGATCAGCACAGAAAGTGGGTTTAAACAAAGAAGGGAAACTATTGAGCTTTCTGTCACCTGTAACAAATACGAAAAACAAACAAAAGGAAAAGATCATATTCTCACCATCTTGAAAACCCCATGCATGCAGACACTTCTGTCAAAAAGTAATACTTTGAATAAATAGTGAGCCATAACCTGCTTAGGCTTCAAAAAATGACTAGCCTGTTAAAATTAATGGAACCCCTGCTATCCTACAGAGAATTCATCATGGCACTTGTCATTCATTTTCTTAATAATTAAGTCTTGAGGGGAAAAACTATTATTTTCATTACCTGAATTTTTTTTCCAATCTTATGAAAAAAGCACCCAGTGTTTGTGGGTCTGCCTTCAGTTCCTCATTTTCAGAACTGGGACATAGGTGATGTTTGCACATATGATCTAGGTTATTTTATGTCATTGGTTGTGTGCTTTGGTCATTAACATCACAAAGTACAGCATCACTGATTTGCAAACCAGAAGGAACACAGAGGATGTGCAGAGATAAGCCTGCACTACAGAACATAGCCCCTTGTTTTCCAGGACTTATGAATGTGTTTTCTCACACCTGCTTTCAAAACAAGCTGAAAAAAGGTTACCCACTATTAGCAGTTCAGTAGGACATCTGACCAAGAGCCTCCTCTGCCAGACTCAAGGACGACCCACTCACTGTTCCAAGTGGCTCAGTTCACAGTTTTTAACAGTGAACTAATCAACAGTTGGAATTCATTAGGATTAAACTGTATAGGGTAAGGTGACAAAACACTGCAACTTGGACAAATTTGCTGTTCAAATGAGGTAAAATGCCATGTACTTTATGTACCAGAGAGAAAGGGTGGAGAAGGAAAAGCAGTTACAGCTTTATACACACAGTTAGCTCAAGTAATTGGCTTTGTTCCCTTCTCAAGTGACTCTGCTACACATCCCCGCCTTCCTCCCCCACCCCCACTGGTTTATAAAACACATCTAGGAGCCAAAACCACAGATGGTGTCAGTCACTCCGATCTTTTGAGATGATGATGCAATATACACTTAGGCTGAACAGGGACCTGCCCAACTACTAATTATTAGTATCTGTTGCATACCCTGTAAAAACCTTGAAACTGCTTTGTTTCCCACATGCAAGATGCACCACAGACAGAAGCCAAGAGACTTCAACATTGGTGTCACCTCCTTGCACCAAGTTTGGAAAACCCTCCTGTTCATTTTCTTTCGCCCTCCTTAAACTGGCATTTTCTAAAACCTAAGAGGAGGTTGCAACCAGAAGGTCTAGGATGCTCTGTTGGCACAGGTACTTCCACTTTTATTCACACCCACTGATACAGGCAGGTTCCCTTGCACCAATTAAGAATACTTAAGGTCTTTATTGAAAAGTGTTATTATTAGTTTACTCTTCAGATATCATCCAGGAGTTGAATTCCAGCACCAGACAAACCAGACCTAGATCAACAAAAGCTTTATTATCTTGACCAGTCACAGAATCACAGAATATTTTGAGTTAGAAGGGATCCAAGAGGATCATTGAGTCCAACTCCTTACCCTGCACAGAACCATTCCCAAGAGTCACACCAAGTGCCTGAGAGCATTGTCACTCTGTGAACTCTGTGAGGACTGGTGCTGTGACCCTGGGGAGCCTGTTCCAGTGCCCAAACACCCTCTGGGTGAAGAACCTTTTGCTAATATCTAAACTAAACCTCACCTGACATAGCTTCCATTCCCTTGGGTCCTGTCACTGGTCACCAAACAGAACTGCCTCTCCTCTTCCAGTCACAAGGAAGCTGTTCCCCTGTCTCCTCCACGCTGAACAAACCAAGTGCCCTCAGCAGCTCCTCATATGGCTTCCCCTCAAGGCCCTTCACCATCCTTGTTACCCTCCTTTGGATGCTCTCTAATAAGTGAGTGCTGAAAGGACTTTGCTATTTAGCCCTATCTCTTGAATCATGTGCACAAAATGTCTTCCACAGATCATATCCACAGCCTTTGGAAGCAAAGCCAGGAAGATCCAACTGCTAGCCCAGCGTGCATACCTCACCTCACAACAAGCACTTGTCTTTCTCCAGCAGCATTAAGCACAGGTGCTCTCGTATTCCCATTTCAGATATAGAGGGAGGCAAAAAAACCAAACCAAAACCACAGTTGTTTAAATCAACACAAAAAATCTCTCACAAAACAGGCTTGGCCTACTTGGCAGTTGAGCAAGTGCAACCTTTGCACAGTGTCAAAAGGGAAGGTGCACCATGGTGAGATAACCAGCACCCTGTACATCCAAAAGGCGCTGGGAGCCCTGACCCCAAAGGAGTGGCTACTTCACAGACTCTTCCCTGGAGCTGCAAGGGAAACCCGTGTCTCAACAGCTGGACATGTTAAGGACAGGACTCTACACAAAGCATCTGGTGAAAAACACTGGAATATGTTTGCTTGCTCAAAGTGCAATCTAAGAGGCACCTTTTCTCAGTGAAGCAAGAATTATTCAGTGCTCCTGAACACCTGGAGTAAATGAGAGTCCTATGAGGAACCCAGGGCTGCCGCTTTCATAGGGCTGGGGTTAGTTTTCACAATGCACTGCTCTCTTCTAACGCTGTTGTGCAAGACTTGTATGTTTAACATTTCTAACCAGCCAAAATTGCTCTTTATATTTGATCAGGAATAATTTTTTTTTTTACCTTTGAACCTGTTGCAAGGCAGGTTCAAAGGTTACCTGGGTGCAGTGTCGCCTGTTTATTAAAGCCACACTCTGATGATTCGGGGCTTAGTCCTGCCACGGGAGCTGGGGAAGCACCACTGGAGCTGGGGAAGAACCAACCCTAGAATACCCCTTGGGAGTTGTAAAGCAGCAAAGGAAGCAAGCTATACCAGCCTCTCCACCCTCCTCCAGCACTGAAGGAAGGTAAGAAAATCCCTCCTAGTCAGAGCCCGTGTTTCCCAAGTACTGGGCTTCCTGCTCCTGCAGAGCAATACTGCAAGTGGGATAATTGCCTCAATTTTCTGCAATACCTGGATCCAATGCACCCTTCTTATCACCCTGTGTGCTGTTAAAGGCAACAGCTGCATGTTATTAAAGAAGCAAGTCTGGGCTCAGGGGTGACATACAGGGAAATCACAGCTTGAATGAGAGCAGCCACCTGATCACTCTCTGTTGCTATAGACTGGTTGGAAGTAGAAACCTGTCTACAGTCTAGGCTGAAGCCATTTGCTTATCAATTTGCTAGCTATGCCTATTTAAAGATGCAGTGCACAAAGTGGCAGTGCCAGGCTCCCACTCAGACTAATGTTTAAACCAGGTTCCAAAATATAAGAATATTTGTTTTCACAGCATCACAAGCAGTAAAAGGCTGCAATATGCCAGGTCATTTATATGCACAAGCTTATTGGCAGCATTTAATACAACAGAATCTAGCTTAATCCCTAACTAGAAACATGGAAGCTGGCTATAATGCCTTTTTTAATGGTTTAAAAGCCATATCATAGGGTATGGCACACCAGACTGTTGCTATTGCCTTGGTACAAGTGCTTGTTCTAGCTATGGAGATGGAGCCTTCTCCAAGCTCTTGCTTGTGTACAGAGAGGGTGGTGGAGACAAAGATCAACCTGGAATCAAGCTGCAAGCAAGAGAACTGGAAAAAAGCATGCTGCTCTTCCAAGTCTAAGCCCATCTCCTATTCATGCCTCCTTTCCTGAGGAACTCATTTGTGCTCTGAGAAGATAATTTATGTTCCAGTGCAGTTATTCTGCTTTACAAAGCTGGACACGGCTCTTGGAAAGCAGAACAGAGCAATAAAGAATAGTTGTGTGTTTATAGCATTAAGAAAACAAACTGGAATTTTAAAATCATCCAAATAAAGTGAGCTCACACCTCCCACAGACTCACAAAATTTAAATCCAAGTTTTGAAAGGACAACACAGAAAATGGTACATGGAGCCAATGCTTTCCTTTCACTTATTTACACCCTCTGCTATTTTCTATGTGTAGAAAGGTTATTTTGGCATCTTTGGATAACAAAAGCTCATGTTGTGCTATGACCTTAAGGTTTGTGACAAAAGCTCACCTGATTCATCCTCTATGCAAAACTTTTTTGACAGTGACAATGGAAAGGAACCTGATCTCTCCACATGCATAAAGTACCTACTGCTACCTACTGCCCATCTTAAGTCATTAATGGGTATGATGGTAGCAGGTGTAAATTTTATATACATGCACAAAGAGAAGCAAAGGCTGCGATTCATAACTCTGCTTTGTTTTTTGACAGAAAATTACTAGCAAAAAAAGATCTGTGCCTTTCAAAGAGCTGGAGTTTATTCAAATCATTTTTGAAAAATTAAAAGCCTCAATATTTGCATGTCACTTGTTATGTGTAACAGGGGAAGAGTGTCATCTGTATTCTAATTTATGAGCATTGAACATAAATGTTCATTCAGGAGAAGCTTTCCTATGTGCATCCTTTAATCCAATTTATGTTGGAGCTGTGACACCCACTGAGCCCAGGCAATAGAGTGTAGCTTTATAGAGCTCTGTGTCACGTTCTGGGCTCCTGGCAGGCCAGGCAGGACCGTGCTGTGGGCATGTTCTCCCACCCTGCAGCAAAGTGAACGAGATACACAGCACTGCTATCCAACAGCTGACCAATGACAGTGCAAATTCACTGCTTCTTCTCTGCTCCTGGAAAAATAACAGCCCGAGGCCAGATATCTGAAGCGGGGAAATGCTGAGAGAGGCACACAGTGTGGGTGATAAGGGACCTGGCTGGGCTGGGAGCCTGGCCTTGTCTCCTTTCTATAAGCACAAATGCCCCCTGACAGGCACTATTAAAGCTGAAGCTCATAGCTTCTCTGAAATGCCACAGGAACAGGCCTGGGAAGGAAAAGCCAAAGGCAGAGGAGTTTCATGAAGAAAAAGCTGTTTCTTTTTTTATGCTCAGCTTACAGGAAAATCAGGGAATCAACACTCAGTTTCCCTAAAAGATACCTACGTGGCTAAATAATGCCACAACTACATGTCAGTTGGCTCTACATGAATAGTGTAAAGATTACAGCAGCAATAAAAATAGAATTGCAATTAGTAGTGTTTTAGCAAGCCAAGGTCCACTACAGGTTGCATTTTTGATGCAAGTACATGCTGTGTTAATTCCATCTCAGCTTTACAGTTTGTCTAGCTAAGCAGATTATTGTAAAATCATGCAGCATAGGAAAACTGTCAGAAGAGGAAACTCCTAAGTGGAGAAAACAATTATAAAATCTGAGGTTAAGGCAATAAAGAAGAGAGTTAGGTGAAGTTACTGTCTTCCTATCCCTCCAAACCTACTGCAAAATTCCAGTTACATCACACAAGCATTGAAGGAAAAAAGGGAAACTGCAACAGCTATAAACTTTTAAACAAAGAAATGAAACAGTGAAATTATTAAAAAAAAAAATCCATGTCATAGCAGAAAACAAAACTGAAGGTTGAAATATGATTCACTGTTACCTGGTACAAATAATTGCACCTATGTATGTCTATAACAGAACAGAAAGAACTAGGTAGCTTTTGAAAAAAAAAAAAAAAAGGAAAAAACCCAACAACAGCAACAAGAAAACTAACACCAAAACCAAATAAAACAAAACCATCAGCAGAAATCTAGCCCACCAGCAATTCCATAGCAGCAGTATACAAGAGATGCTGTAGTCAAAACATTTTGTTGGTATTACAGGCTACAAAGCTCTGCTCACCTTAACATATATGCAGCTATAGAGAGAAAATTGCTATTGTTGAGAATACAGCTTTATACTTTAAAAAGATAATAGCAAACAGCTTAGAAAGAATAAACTATAAATATAATTTCAAAATGTTTTGGCTTACTTTTAATTTATATCTACTTTAAGCTGTTTTCATTAACAGACAAAAAAGCTCAATTACTTCCTCTTGTGTGGGTGGATTGTTGTTTTTTATGGGTTTTTTTCTTGTTTTTTAAATTTTTTTTAATCACTCCAGTTGCCCAATGCAAGTTCCTCCCCTTTAAAGCTTCCCTCCCAATGTGCTTTTCTCCTTGCTGGTTTTTTAAACTGGGGACAAGAAACTGGCTGTAGTTTTTGACATAAGTGGTGTTGGTTTTGTACTGTGCTACTAAGGCTCCCTTTTACTAAAGGAGAAGAAGTTGATTTTCTACCCTATATTCAAAATGGTAGGTGCCTTTACTCACCAGTTCTCATCTCTATAGGTGTTCTGCCAGGTTTTCTGTGTAAGTAATGAAGTTTTACTGTATTTGTTTTATTGCTCATGAGTTTGCTTGTTGTTACTCACATGGGCTTTACTAAATCCAATGTGCAAGTGCAGTGATTAGATGCAGGGTTCAAGATAATGAGTTTTTCAGGAGCCTCCTAGGAAATCTCTGGTAGTTTGCTATCAGTTAAATGTGGACCTTGGGCTGAGTTAAGTTCAGATATGTGTTTGTTCTTTGCTCTTCGTAATTGAAGTGCTGTGATAATAGGAAGTAATGGACATTAATATCTAGAAACTTTAAGTGCTACATTTTCTCTGTGTGGCTAAAGTGCCTAGTGATAATATTCTAATTTTCTGAGGAGTTCTACATTAATTTTCAAGTCAAGCTTTAGTCCTTGCTCTTAATACCATGCCCTATCACTAGAGAAAACTTCCTATTAATATAGTTTTGGTGCATGAATGCTTTGCAAGAACTGAACCTGTATTATCCAATAGGATAAACAGTAACAGAACCTGCTATACTGACTGTATTTTAAATTCTTAAAAGCTTCAAAGGGCCAGTTATGCATGTTTCTGAGTAGGTCGTTACAAAGAAAAAATCTGATATAAAGACTATATGAAAGCTTAGCTTTTCAATTTATCTGAGGAAATAACTTTTAGTACTAACTTTTGTACTAACTTTTAGTACTAAATAACTTTTAGTAGTAACTTTAGTACTAAGTAGTGTCATGATGTTGTTGCCCTCCTGATGGAGAGACAGTAATATCCAGCACAGTAAAATTCCTTATTTAAAAAATGGCCTTTCTATTTAAACATACTGAAAGCTTGAATTCAATTGGTTTTATCAGCAAGGCTCAGAAACCACAGCGCGCTGCTTCCTGAAAGTTGCTGAGGCCTCGTCCTTTCCCACCCTCTAGCAGAGTGTTTCTCAGCTAAGATCAAAAGGTGCTTGAACTGTTTGGCTCTGACTCTCTGAAGAGGTACTCTAAAGTCAAAGCCTCACTGAAGCATATCCTGGGCTTCATGCAGGTTACTGAGCATTTTGCTTCGTTTTTTGCATGGCTCTGCTCAGAAATCACTGCTGAGCTTTTGTGCTTTAACTTCCCTCTGGATGCTCAAAGTTAGATGTTCCTAAACCCTGTGGAACACAAGACTTCAGCTGCATCAAGGAGGAATATGTAATACAAAGTTTCCAAGGAGTAAGAACTGGCAAGTGGCTCACGTCTACAGGACGACGCCAGGCAAGAGCTGCACTGTGTAAGCAGATGGAAAAAGTGAGTTAGTGATGGTTAAGTAACTAATCAGTGTAGGTGGCTGTACTCCACTTTTCCTGCTTGTAAACAGTCAGTGTTACCTTACTAATGCTGAGAAAAAAGATGTCATGATCGTGCCAAAAGCTTAGGCAAACTTGATGCAAAGTACATAACTGCAGAAGACATTCTCCCAAGCAGTGCAGACTGTTGCTTCCAAAACTGTGCAAGTATCAGAGATTGCCTTGTTGTCCATAATGAACTCTTGCAATGGAGATGACACTGATTTTTCTTCATATTTATGTACTCAAAAGTACAAAGATCAGCCACTTTCCAGTGGAGAGAATCTCACGTGGAGAGCATAGAGAATAACTTAAATTTCTTTTAGGTAATGAAGGAATAGCTGTAAAGGGAGAGGTACAGTAGAAATGAGAATGTGTACTCCTGAACTCAAGGCTGTAAATGTATCACTGTAATCTCTTCTGATAAAAATTAAGCCTTTGACTCTAGAGCTTAGTGCATCTTATCCCTGACCATTGATCAGGGCAGACAACCTAAGTACACTTTCAACTGTCCAGCACCTTATTGCACAAAAAGCTTAAGAGGTGGCTTGAGACATCCTGTGCATTTTGTGTCCCTGGGAGTCGAGCCCTCAGAACTCAGGGTTTCAGACACTCCACTGTTGTGACGAACACTCCATGTGCGGAGACACGAGGTTTGACTTCATTTCTCAGAAGGCTGATTTATTATCTTATGATATATATTAAAATACTACATTAAAACTATACTAAAAGAATACAGAGAAAAGATCATCGGAAGTTTTGAAAGAACAAGAATAGAATAGAATAACAAAATCTTGTGACTGCTCACAGTCTGATGCAGCTGCATTTGTGATTGGCTCTTAATTAGAAACAACTAAGATGCACCAATCACAGATTCACCTGTTGCATTCCACAGCAGCAGATAGTTATTGTTTATATTACTTTCCTGAGGCCCTCAGCTCCTCAGGAGGGGAAAAATCCTATCAAAGGGTTTTTCATAAATTATTATGGTGACACTCCACCTCTGACCCCCCTGATGTTTAGAAAGGCAACTGCTGCTTACTTACCCTGCAGTGGAAGTAGGTGTCCGTCCAAATTCCTCTGTTTTTTTTTTTTTTTGTTTTGCAAAATCTTGTGACTGCTCACAGTCTGATGCAGCTGCATTTGTGATTGGCGCTTAATTAGAAACAACTAAGATGCACCAATCACAGATTCACCTGTTGCATTCCACAGCAGCAGATAGTTATTGTTTATATTACTTTCCTGAGGCCCTCAGCTCCTCAGGAGGGGAAAAATCCTATCAAAGGGTTTTTCATAAAATATTATGGTGACACTCCACCTCTGACCCCCCTGATGTTTAGAAAGGCAACTGCTGCTCACTTACCCTGCAGTGGAAGTAGGTGTCCGTCCAAATTACTCTGTTTTTTTTTTTTTTTCTTGTTCTGCACTGAGTTTTCACTAAATTGATATAAATCAAGTATTATGTATGCACAGGGCACTTGGATTTGTGGGTTGAAGTCTGGCTGTAGCTGTTCCATAGCACAGATTTAGGCTGCAGCTGTTCTCTCACTGTGGACAGGAAGGTCTATCAAGTACAGATTCCTGTCCTCTCTCTGGCTTTCTGCTTTGATGGCAGCAGGATTAAGTGGCATTTGGATGATGCCAGAGGTGATAAATTAGCAGCTACTTGGATTGACAAATAGTTACAGTAAAAGCTCTAGGCATAAGAAACAACTGTCCCAATTCTGGGAATTGAGACAAATTTGCTGACAATCTCTTGCCACAGCTTGAGTAACACACCCTATGTGCTTTGATGGAAGAGACTAAAGCCCTTTTGTGGAAACATTGTTGGAAAGTAAAAGAAAACCTGGTCACTATTCTATTAATAAAGTAAGGGTGTTGAAAATAGTTTCTCAGAGATGAAAAACATTTTGTTTTGCATTACCTAGATCTGTGTTTTTGTTTTTATGCAATACTAACCTCTCTGTCTTTAAAGAGTATATATGTAAAGTCCTGCTTATGTAGCCCTGTAAGTGGGCTAATGAAAACTACAGTTTTCAGTAACTGTAGTCTTCATTAGCCCACTTACAGTCAGAGCTGTAAGTGGGCTAATGAAGACTAACAGTTACTGAAAACACCCACCAAACCCTGGAAGGCTAATGAGTGTATAATACTTCCCAGACTTTAGAGAAACTTGTCAACAGGTCTTTCTTTAAATTAAAAATTCATTCAAATATAACTGAAAATCATCTTTGACTACCTACAGGTATGCTGAGCTACAATGGGATTAGACTACTGCCTGATCTTTCTTTCTTTCTTTTTATACAAGAGACGTGTAGAATCAATTCAGAACCTGAAGGCAAAAGTTTTGGTGCATTAAATGATCATTTCTTTATTAGGAGTTCTCTCTGGTCTTTGAGTTCTTTGCTCCAAGCAAAAAAATCATATCCTTCAGGGCTTGATATTCAGTCCTCCTAGATGTCCTGGTACAAACTACTTTGCATGTGAATCAGTGAGAACAGGAAAATACCCTGATGGAAACATTTTCAGTGACTTGTCTACTGCAGCATGGAGCATTTGGGGTTACTGGGTTGTCTGATCCTCATCACAAAAAGGTCAGACAAGTGTCTTGAGTAAATTTTCTGTCCAATAAGTCCATGTAACAGACAGTAGCTATTTGTGACAACTGCTCTGATCTGTCTGACCTAGACAGACAGTGTTAATGGTAAGCCATAGAAATAAGCTAAAGAAAAGGACTTGGTGCCATAAATAAGATAGTTTTGTTTCTTACCTCTAGCATGATACTGCAAAAACAACCAATCATTCATGATTTCTGGGAAATCATCTTAAAAGTACTATTAAAATAAGCAGATGAGAACACACTTCAGCCAATAAATAAAACTGGTGCATCTGTACAGGCCTGTGGTCCCTCTGGTTACCTGCATATATCTTTATTTTCTCACTGCTGATTGAAAAATTACCAGAGAAGAGTCATGTGAAATGCAGTGAGTGAAAACTCCTTTTGGCCATCTGGGCACGGGAAAAGACTGGGAAAGGGCCCAAACTGATTGCTAATAATCAATATTAGGGGAGTTTTAACATGAGTATTCTGGCACCCCTCTAAAAAGATGTGAGAATAGATGTGTCAGTCCAGAAAGCTTCCAACATGCAAACGGTGAAAATGTGATTCACTCTGTCACTTGGATTTAGTAGTGGGCTCTGAGCTAAAGGACAAATGTTTGTATATTCCATCTTTCATGATGGAGAATGGAGATGCCTCTATCTAGCTGCCTCAGTGCTCATGCTATAAAAAAGTGTCTTGCTCAAGTTAATGAATGAGGAAATATGAACCACAAACCATATGAAGAAAGCTGCTTGCTATCTGCTCCATTAATGGTCCAGATATATATGGTGTCAGGAGAAGCTGATTACCAAATTCACTTTATCAATAATCTTCAGTTTTCCAAACCAAGCAGTGCTAAACCTAAACTGGAAAGTAGCTTTGTCCTGAATGTAAACTCGATCAGCAGACCTGGATTTAGTTGATTTAGGTTCTGGTTGGGTTTGGTTGGTTTTTTGTTTTTTGTTTTTTGTTTTGTTTTTTTTTTTTGTTTGTTTGTTTTTTTTTTTTTTTGTTTTGTTTTGGTTTTGGTTTTTGTTTGTTTGTTTGTTTGTTTGTTTTTTTAATCCTCGTGCAATTGATAAAGGCCCAAAGGGAGATGGTTGATATGCTGTGCTACAAACAGGTTTGTGCATCCATAGGATCAATAAGATGAAAACAGCCTTTCTGGCTGTACCACAATATTTTTGGACTCTCAATATATGAAGACAAGGTCAGGAGTTTGAAGGCCACGTGGCAACTAAGGTTTAGAGTAGAAAAGAGGACTTGGAGTTGGTATTTCTCAGAGGTGTAGGTGATCTGGCAGCTTGGACTAGCTGAAAAGTCTCTGAGGTACCCTTTCTTATCCAGATACTGAGCAGGCAAAACATGCCTTTTTTATCAGAGAACACACCAGGATTGCTGATTAGCACTGCAACTGGAAACTACAAAACTGTAAAACAGATACAGGTTATCTAAATGATCAATCTGGGCTCAGAGACCCAAATTCTGACTTTAGCTCCTGTCTGAACTTACTATTGGTTTGTAAAATACCTTCAACTTCATTAGAATTATAGTTAAATGGTAATTGGAACTCACTGCATCAGGACTCCTGGTATTCTTCTTGTACACAGCTACATGATATCTGACATATTATCTACTGGTGAGGTTCCTTTGATTCTGTATGAAGGACTTTGAAAGAGTGCTGTTTTTCATCTTGCAAAGTGTGAGGTGGTGTGTCCTGCACAGATATTTAGACACTAACAAACACAAATTGCTGAGATCTGAGTTGTTTCAGACAGAAAGCAGTTTTTTTTCTCTTGGCAATTCAGTCTTAAAACACATCAGAACATTTTGGAGATAAACGTGCTTGTTTCTAAGGAAGAAAGCTCAGGTCTCTGTGTCTTATAAGTCTGCATTCTTAGATTTTGCTTTCCTGCCCTTGACAGAAGACACCATGGGGAATGCAAGCAGCAGAATTTTTTGTGTTTCCCAGTTAGACTTCCATTGCAGACATTGACTTCCAGGTCACCACTTCCTAGTGGAGGCCAAGTTTTGATTTGTGCTGTTTTGGTTTTTTTTCGCTGACCACACTGTCACTTTCTGAAATATTTGGCTGGCATGACCAGTAAAAGCAGCTGAAAATTAATATACTGTTTGTACTGCAGACATATATGTAGATTATCAAACATGTAATTTATCAATACCATTCTTATTTCAGCAAAACCATTTCCTACTGAACACTTACAATACTGAGGAATTTTCTTACTTCCACAATTCACATCATTGAACCATAGGCATTTTTAGTTATACTTGGGGAGATAGATTTGGGAAATTATATACTGGTTTTCTTCAGACAGATTTTTTTACTTAAGGATGGAAAGAATCTGTTCCTTGTCTGACTTCATCAGGCTTCAGCTTTCTGTGGAGGTGGATGCAGCATATATTAAGATTTATGGGGACAGGTGACTTAAGATCTCTTAAGAGGCTTAAAACATTGCATAAGTGTGCTTCACTGTTGTACCAGGACTCACCAGGGGCAAACTGCTGAAATGATTTGCAGTATTGTTTAACAAGCTACTTAAGTAACCATGGCTCATAGGTAATTAAAGCTTCGAACTCAAGTCTACTAAACCTCCTATTTGTTTCAGGTTCAACTCTGGCTCCACTGATCCAGTACAATGATCTGGATACTTCAAGTATTGTTTTCACCACTCCCAACACCAGCATTGATCAGTCTCATTGCATTTGGAGCTGTCATCTTCCTGTGGGTGATAAGCAGGCCAAAACCTCTTTTACCTCCTGTTGACTTGAACAAGCAGTCGATAGGAATTGAGGTAATGCTTTCTCTGCTTGTGGGCATGGTCTGTTTTGGAGCTTCATCTGAATACTGATCCATTCTGACTCTGGGTGTCAGTGGAAACTCTCCTGTCCAATATGCACAGCCTTCTCTCTCAGGTGTACAACTCAAGAGCACGGTGGGGAGATGGGAAGTCTTGAGATGCTAAGATGAGAAACAGCAGCTTGTTCCAACCAGGGCTAGGAGGGATTTTTACCAGATGGCTTTGGCTGTCACTGACTTTTTCCTGTATTTTCAATGCACTGCATCAGCTTTGAAACTGCTGCTAGATTTCATGTAATAACAGAAGTGGTAGTGCTCAGTCAAGGCCTCTCAATAACCTGTAACTCAGCATTAAGGTGGGCCACCTAGAAAATTCCTCTGCATGTGACTGAGTAGATCAAAATCAGGAAGGGAAAAGACTTCCCTAACAATGCAATTCTCTTGAAATGTTTTAAATGGGATTGATGAGAGAATGGCTGAGGAACAAATTATATTTTATCTGGTCTGCACTATTTCATAACCATGCTTTGTTCCTAGGGAGGAGCCAGAAGAGCTGCACTCTTGACAGATAATAACCTGCTTTCTTATTACTTTGAAGATGCTAAAACCCTGTATGAAGTTTTCCAGAGAGGAGTGAGTATTTCTGGTAAGCTTTTCATCTGGTAGTTAGTACTTGTAAAGTACTAACAAGCACTATCACAAGTAAACAAAATATTTTCAAGATCCTTTTCCTTATGTCTTGGCTGTGGTAATAATGGAGGCTAGCAAAAGCTCTTCTAACCTTCTGTGGGGTGGAGAGACAAGTGACCATATTTCTCCCTGTCCCAATTTAGTACTAGTCTTATTTGGGAGACTGGGCAGGAACAAATACTGGAAGCTGAAGATGGTAGAATTCAGTCAAGAGTCAGCAGACACAAAGCATCAGAGGAACTGGGGGGGAAACACCTCTCCTTTGTCTTATGATGTGAGTTTTCCTGTGAAATTACTGCCTGTTTACAACAGATGTGAATTTGTGCACGTCACTTCACAATTCCTATGCACTGAGATGTGTGATGGTTTGCAAGGTATTTCAACCTCACATGGGTTGTGCAATCGAACAAATATCACCAGATCTTAGAAGTATTGCTTGTAAGGATAAAGCTAACAGTCTTGCAACCTTGGTTTGGGCAAAGTGCTTAACTATGGACACTGACCTGCTCTCCATGGAGAGCATGTCTCCAGAATGCCTGACAGAAAACATTTCCCACTTCAAGTGTTTAGTGTTATGCACTTTAGTGTTACGCAACTTCAGTACTGAGCTTTGAAATTGCTTTTCTGAACTCTTTCATTAGGAAATGGTGACTGTCTAGGCTACAGGAAACCCAAGCAACCTTATCAGTGGCTGACATATAAACAGGTGAGTACTGTAAATGACAGATGAGTTAATTTGGGATACTGCCTTGTAACACTAAAGTGGGGGAATAACTATCTTGCAGGTTTTGGACAGAGCTAAATACCTGGGATCAGGGCTTCTGCAAAAAGGATGCCAACCATCATCAAGCCAGTTTATTGGCATTTTTGCTCAGAATAGGCCAGAGGTAAGCAACAAACTGTGTATTCTTTCCTACACTATTCTGACACCTTGGGATGAGAGGGGAGTCTGTATTTAAATAGCTTCAGGCCACATGAGGAACAATCACAACTTTTTCCTTCCCAATTCCCTTTATACTGACTGAGCACACACCATTCCAAGCATGTAATACAATGACCTCTCACAACTCTTATTCTCATGGATGTGCTCCTTCCATACCCACCGCTCTCATGTGCATGGGCTTGTCAAGCTGTATGAAGTCTGTAGGCAATCCTGTCTTGAGGGTTCCTAGTTTTTCTTAGTTGTGCTGTTTTCTCTTTTCAGTGGGTCATTTCAGAGTATGCCTGCTACACCTACTCAATGGTTGCTGTTCCACTCTATGACACTCTGGGACCAGAGGCTATTGTATATATTGTTAACAAAGGTAAATATTGACTTCCACTCTTTCATAAGGATTTTTCTAGGAAACTTTGTTTTGAGAGGGCTAAGTTCAAGGGAATATGCAAAAATCAGAGTAGCTTTAACCTTAATGCTCTTGCAGACACTTTCTTAGCAAAGCTGCTTTGCAGGGCATGTGGCTCAATGCCTACAAGAATGCAGTGGGCTTCCTCTGTTTCCTAGTGTCTTGATTGCAAGACCACTGAAGGACCTGCTAGATCCTGTGTATCATTCTGCAATTAGAGTGCAAAACTATTTGCTGTTTGAGATTTTGCAATCTTGAACTCCCACACTGCCAAACAATCAGACAATGCAGACAGACTTGCATGTAAATTAAAACTAGATGTGTGTGTCTGTCTGATTTAAAGTTGTAGGATGAAAAGAGTGGAGGAGGGAAGGGTGAAGATATGCCTAAATCTGTTTATCTTGTTATTTCATGTTCTACAGAAACAACATCTAGCAGGTCATCATGGAATAAACTGGCAAGGAAGTTAAATAAATCTTAGACTTTCTTCACCCAGTCTTAGGAGAGATATGGGGGAAATAAATATCCACTGTTGTTACAGTGATCTGGGATCCATCCCAAAAGTAGGATTTGCCAAGCAAAACCACTTCAACACTTATGGTGGTGAATCTTGGAAACAGGTGTTGACTTGGGATTACACAGCTGTAATTTGCCAGTCTAACTGGGAACTGGCAGGCTCAGGCAAATCCAGTTCTTCTGCTGACTTAAAGGAAAAGGCCTTTATAACTGCATCTACAGGGAAGCTGAGGTATTAACTCATGAATTTTAGCTACCTTTTTCAATTTGGCCTTAATTTATTTTGATTTAAGGAAGATGGCTAAACCTAAACAATATCATGGCAATACCAAAAGTTTCAGTGCCCATCTTGACTGTGAGCGAAGATGTTTCTCCTCAGCTCCTCAGCATTTGCTCTCACTTTATATTGCCAGAATACCACGTTTGCCCAATCAGTTGAGTATGGTAGGAGGAATCTTCTCAGCACTGTAAGCCAGCCACTGAATGCATATGAACAAATGCAAATGGCACCAAACCAATATTATGTTCTAAAATTATGTGCTGCTGAGCTGTGTCTGGCCTCTTGTCTCCTAAACAGACTTCTGATAATTTCTTTTCTGTAGCTGACATAAGTGTGGTGATCTGTGACACGCCTGCGAAGGCAGAGGTCTTGCTTAAGAACTGTGAGGACAAGAAGACCCCATGTCTGAAGATTATTGTTCTCATGGATCTCTTTGATAAAGAGCTCAAGGACAGAGGAGTTAAAGTGGGAATTGAAATTCTGTCGCTGCAGGAGGCTGAGGTAGGTGGCTAAAGGCTTCTGTAATACTTTGCCAGCTAAACACCTTGATCTTCTGTGGCAGCAATGGCACTTTAATGTAAGCATTACCCAATTGTCATGCCTGTACCTGACATCTTAATGAGCAGTCATTTTGAAACTTGATATCTTTAGCTAAACAGTTGCAGAGTTCAAACAGTTGACTAAAGTTGTGTTCATGTGTTGTGAACAGCCAAGACTTGCTTAGCTTAATTTGTGATCCTGTTGTAACGTGATTTATCGGGCTTCTAAGCTGGCAGTTGAATCTAACTGGAACTGTAAGTGCAAATTACTGGCTGCTTAGACATCCCAATACTATGCTTAAGCTTGCATACATGTAAAGAGATGTGGCCTACATCAAATAAAAGGAAACCTCCACTCAGGACTTCCAAATTCCTTAAGTAGTTCTGATCACTTTCCACACATTCAAATGTGTCCTTTCCACACTTGCAGCAGACAGTTTTTCAGAGTTATGTGTATTGGATTCAGGAAGAGGTTTCTGTTTGAATGGGTCAGAGTATCAGAGGCAAAGTAGTAAAACAGATATTGCATTTGAAATGCAATTACTTACTCCCTATTGTGCACATCTCTTAAACTGTGTTTTTTCTCTAACACAGGAGCTGGGAAGAAACAACATCAGAGAACCAGTTGTAAGTATCTCTATGAAACAGGTAGAGACTTTTAAAACTAGTCTGTGGAAAGACCTCTTTCTATGCTGCTAGTAGAGGTGACTAGCAGATTTTTTTTTGCGAACCAGAATTCCTGATTCATCACAGTTAGGAATTGTATGTAGTTACAGATAATCATCATAATCCTTGTACTGACTTTATGTGTTTTTTTCTCTCTAGCCTCCTAAGCCTGAAGATCTTTCTGTTGTGTGTTTTACAAGTGGAACCACAGGTAAGAATTTATAGTGATGCTTCCCCACTGAAAGAGCCTCCCCCTGCAGCTTCCCTGCACAAAAGTAAAGAAATCCTATGAACATGGAAGTAAACCAGTAAATTACCAGAGCAATGTCAAACTGCTCTTGCAGTTTTACTTGGGATACTGTCATTACAAGTCAAGTGCACTATGACAAAGATACTTAAAACTGGGGGCAAGAAAAGCCAAATTCATGTTGTCTTACCCTATGAAAAATGCAGCCTTAATGTTCAAGAGATTGGTTGTTCAACTGTGTATTTTGATCCACAGGGGCTAAAGCAAAAATCTTGTTTCAGCATTCTCTATGCTTTTCCCAGTTGCTCTGCTGTTTCAGTATTAATTTCCTTTATGTAATATCCATAGCTGAAAGCACTTAAGATGAGGCATATTTGTGATCTCTTATGAGAATAATTGCTGGGGCTGAGCCTAGTACTGAGATAGTTCAAACTGAGCCAAACGAGACATGGGACACTGCCAGCAGATGCAGTCAGAGCCACAGCTCACCTTGCTTGATCTCTCCAAAGGTAACCCTAAAGGAGCCATGCTGACACATCAGAATGTTGTTTCAAATGCTGCTGCCTTCCTTAGATGCACAGAGGTAAGCTACTCTCCAGGATATGTCCCTCAGTCATGAAACCAGCTTTAATGTGGCATTTTCTGTAACCCATTCACTCCCAGAAACCGATGCTTTCCTAAGTGCCCCTTTTTCAATGAGATAATACTACTGCAAGAAACTTGGTTTGAATTGAACAAGAACTTCTACGTAGAAGTTATTCTAGAATGAGTCAGTCCTAAATACCAAGAGTACTAAACCATCTATTTCAAGACTTGCCAAAACATTAAACTAATTTTGATTTAGTGTGGATGAGTGACAGCTGCAAATCTTGAAGAGGTGATGGATGATCCTGAGCCTGAGTTGCTTCAATCATTGGAAGTGTCTGTCTCAAAGTACTCAAATTGATACAAATTTTATTTACTTTCTACTTAAAAGTAACTCAGGCAAGCATAGAAAATGCTAACCTACTTCTACTTCCTTTCCCTCTAGAACACAATTGAGTGTACAAGTTCAGATGTTGCCATTTCCTATCTTCCTCTGGCTCACATGTTTGAGAGAGTTGTACAGGTATGTACAGATATATGTATCTGAGCTTTTATAAACCAAATTATAGTAAAAGACATTAGTAATGTGTATGTCCTCAAAACCCCTCAATAACTTTCCTTATTTTATAATAACTGGGCACTGGAAATCATGCTGATTTTTATAGACTAATAATTATGGCTAGTGAAGCTAGGAATTCTGCTTGACTAAGGTTAGTCTGGTCAATTTTTAGACTCTTATATTCAGCTGTGGAGCAAAAGTAGGCTTCTTCCAAGGAGATATCAGGCTGCTAACAGATGACATGAAAACCTTGAAGCCAACGCTATTTCCAGTTGTACCAAGACTGCTGAACAGAATCTATGACAAGGTATGTGAGCAATTTTAGCTATGTTTTCTTTGTGTTTATATATCCAAACAAGCATACAAATACAAAACAACATTGAATATGTCATGACATCACCACTAATTACTTACCCCTTAGCAAGAAGAATGTTTTAGAATCCTTTCTGAGGAGGTGGAAGAAGATTTGGGAGTATAAGAATGGCATATACAGTCATGACTGGGCTAAGTTTGTTGCTGTTAAGAGAAAAAAACTATCTTTACTTTTGTAATGCAAATTAATCAGGTGCACAGCTAACAGGATCCCTGTTCCTCAAAGCTATGGCTGTAGTGTTTAAACAGTAACATGAATTATTATTGCCTTTTGGGACACCTCCTAGATACTGCAGTGGTGAAGACAGGCCTTAGAACATCGAAGTAAGATTTGGTGCCTCTTAACAAGGCAAGAATGAGATGTACAGATGTGAGTTAAACCCAAAAGTCACTGGTACTTTTCCTTGCAGATCCAGAGTGGTGCAAACACCCCAGTAAAGAATTTCCTATTAAAATTTGCTGTGTTTATGAAGATGGCTGAAATAAAACAGGGCATCATTCGAAATGACAGCATTTGGGACAAGCTAGTCTTCAAAAAAGTTCAGGTAAGTTTTGCCAAGTGTAAGGGAGCTAAGCAATGTAATATTGGAGGATCTGATGGCTTCTTTTTCACTTGTAGGAAAACATGGGTGGAAGAGTGCGTATCATGGTGACAGGCGCAGCCCCTATATCTCCCTCTGTCCTGACATTTCTGAGAGCAGCATTAGGCTGTCAGGTAAGCTGAGTTTTCTTTTAAAGTAAGCCCTGTTTGATTATGCACAGATGAGTGACCAGTGATATAGTTGGGGTCCAGCTCAGCTTGTTCCTGGGGAAAATGCTCCCAGTCTTGGGCATTTACAGACTGCTTCATCTTAGTTGACTGTAGCAGGAAAAAAAATTCTGCAGGGCCCACTTTAAACTACACTACCAAAAAAACTATGCTGTAGGGTCTGAGAAGAGGAATAGAGCAGCAGAAATAGGAACATACAGTACTCATAGTCAAGCAGCTGCCTATGAGTTTTGTGGCTTATTCTAATAGTCAATGAGCTCCCAAAGTAGCACATTTGAGAACAGAAAAAGAGGTGACCAAAGCAAAGTTTGAATAGGTGAACTTTAACATCTGGTTACACCAATAAGATCAAGATATCTTAAAGGCAAAGGTTGTTTTGGCTTCCTTGCTGAGAAAACTTGAGCATGGGCACAGTCAAAACTGAGGCCTTTCACACCAAGGACTTGATGTTCAAGGAATACTCATCCTTTCTTGCACAGATCTTTGAAGGTTATGGCCAGACTGAATGCTCAGCTGGATCCACTTTCTCAATGCCTGGAGACTGGACAACAGGTATGGGAGCTGAGACTTGTGAAGTCTCCCAGAGCTGTCCACATAAAGGGGCACTCAAGCCTAGGTGCTGTAATGCTTTTAGGTTAATGAAAATTAAATCATGGGTACTCAAAGTGATTCTTGGTAGCAACAGTCACCTGTCTGCTTAATGGGTACTAAAATTCTTGACTCAACCAGAAGAGGAACCCCGGTGTAAAGTGCCGTAGGTCAGTTTAGACTTTGTCCCAGAATATAGGAAAGGAATAGAGAGAGCTGAGCAAACTGGATAGTGGCCTTAAGAAACTAGCTTTGTCTCCTAAATGACATGTTTTAGTCAGAAATATTAGACATGATACTTGACTGTTTTCCTGAAGGACCTTGAAGATTTAGCTTTTATCTCAGCAGTACTGGATATTCTACATTCAGACTCAAGTCACCATAATGAGGATAAAATGCAAATGAATACTAGTATCTATGAGAGGGGATCCTGAGGAGGCATGAGTGGTTCAGTGGTTTGTGGCTGATGTGGTAGATTACAGTAATAGTGCTCTAAGCATCAAGACTTACCTGCTATTTGTCCTACATTAACTGTCTGAAAATGGCATTGCAACAACTTGCTTGAACATTTGATGCCAGACTCCTTTAAATAACCCTGGTTCATGTTAAAGCAGTGAACAAACCCAGTAAGTATCTACTATCACTGCAGTCTGTTTTGTTGATTTTTTTTCCTCTTAGGCCATGTTGGAGCCCCTCTGGCTTGTAATATCATAAAACTAGATGATGTGGAAGAAATGAGCTACTTCTCTTCTAACAATGAAGGCGAGGTAGGTACCATCTCCTGAGCATGTCAAGAAATACTGAAACATAAGACCTGGTGACTAACAGTGTTCTCTACTTGCTATAGGTCTGCATTAAAGGACCAAATGTGTTCAAGGGTTATCTGAAAGACCCTGAGAAGACAGCAGAAGCAATTGATAAAGATGGCTGGCTCCACACTGGAGACATAGGGAAATGGTTGCCAGTGAGTACTTGCTTAACACAAACCATCTCTTGCATGTGAATTCCTGTTACTTCACAGTATTCTCTAAAGATAAAAGGATAAAAGTCTCTACACAGTAGATTCACTAGGTAACTCCAGGCAAAGCTCCAAAGACCAATTAGGTTACAGGATATTAAATAACACCTGCTAGGCCCATAGTTAAGACTATTCTTCACTGTAGAAGTGATATAACAAGGTGTCTTGGTTTCTGTCAGAGGAGGATAAAGGAGCTGTCCAATCATGTCCTGAGCTAAATGGAGAAATTACACAAACCCTTCTCTCTGTAGAAAGCAAAGACCAGTATGTGGCTTCCAGACTAGTTCCAGATGTGCCTTTCATACAACTAAACCAAGCCTGCTTATCTTCTCTTATATAAGACAATTACTTGGAACTAATGACTCCACTTTTAATTTCTAGAATGGAACACTGAAGATCATTGATAGGAAGAAGAATATATTTAAACTTGCACAAGGAGAATACATTGCTCCAGAGAAGATAGAAAATGTCTATATCAGAAGCACTACTGTAGCCCAGGTCTTTGTACATGGGGAAAGTCTGAGGGTAAGTGATGTTAGGAGTATCCTGCAATATCTCCTGCCACAAGTTCTGGATGATCAGGGCACAAATGTATGCATGTACAAGAGTCCTTGAACAAAATCTGTTCCTAAGACAGCTGTGTTTATAAGAAGGTGTTCTCAGACCTACAGACTTCCCAAGTGACACCTGGCATTTTTGCAAGCTGGGTAAAGGCTAATTACATACCTGTGCAGAATTGGTATGTCAGGTCACTTCTGTGCAGTTTAGATTCATAAAATAGTCCCCCCTGCAATAAGCAGGGACACCTTCAACTAGATTAGATTGTTCAGAACCCCATTCAGCCTGACCTTGAATATTTCTAGGGAAAGGGCATTTGCCACCTCTCTGGGCAACCTCTGCCATTGTTTTGCCACCCTCACACTCACAAAAAATTCCTTATATTTTATATAAGTTTACTATCTTATAGTTTAAAACCACTACCTCCTGTCCTATTGCCACAAGCCCTACTAAAAATTTGCCCCCATCTTTCTTGCAAGTTCCCTTTTAATTTTGAAAGGCCACAAAAAAGTCTTCCTGGAGCCTTCTCTTCTTCAGGCTGAGCAACTCCAATTCTCTCAGCCTTTCTGCACATCAGAAGTTTCTCCATTCCTTTGCCACAGAGGTGTTGCCTATGCTAGCAGAGGCCAGTCTTCAGTCTGTAAACAGCCAAAACTGCTGGATCATTCAGCACACATAACAAACTGTGTCAGTACTTCAGTTACTGCTGTCGCAACTCTCAGTGACTTGGAAATCCTTACAGCTACCTTTGAAACTCTGAAAATGCATGGAGATGTACATTTGACTTGTCATAGAAACACTGCCTGCAAGCAAGATCAAAGACATGTAGTATGCCTTAGCTTGGTCTCAGCCTGACTATTTCCACTTGTTTTCAGTCTTATCTAATAGGTATAGTGGTTCCTGATGCTGAGATGCTTCCAGAATTTGCAGCAAAACTGGGAGTCAAAGGTTCCTTTGAAGAGCTCTGCAAAAACCCGGTTAGTGGCGTTGTGTTTAGTGGGTTAGAGACAGAATTTAATTCTAAGTCCAATCCTACATTGCTCTTTGTTCTATCCACCTCTTTTCAGTCACTTGAAATGGTTTAATGCTGGGTGAGTCATGCAAGCAGCCTTACAGCAAAAACTAGAACTGAGTATAGGTGTCTCTTGTTTCAAGGGCTATCGCTGCTTCTCTGCCGGTGAGAAGATAGACATGACTTGGTAGTGGCCTTAATATGAGAAATCTTGAATGTTGAAATATGTATTCTTGCCATCCTCAGTTCTCCCTGACTGGACAAATGGTTATGGTTTTGAGCTGCAATTACAGAATGACAGCATTACCCACTCTGCTTCTGTTGTGTTTCTTTTAGGCAGTGAAGAAAGCTATTTTAGATGATATGATCAGACTGGGGAGAGAGGCTGGCCTTAAATCCTTTGAACAAGTGAGTACATTCAAATCCTGCTTGTCAGTAGCACCTGTATTGCTAACACAGTGGCTGGGAAGTCTTCATTCCTGCTACTGCCTGTTCCAGGAGGGGCCCTGAGGCAGCTGCCCCAGACACCTGATGGAAGCAGTCAGTGAAACATTGGCTGCCTGTCCCTAAACCAGGAGACCAGGGGCTGTGAAGGGCAACAGCAGCACTTGCCAAGAGATGGAGTGGAGGCTCACAACAGGCTGTACAGGCTGTTCTGGAATTCCACCCTCTTGCTGTGTCAGCCAAAAAAAGTTTAGTTACTGGATCTCCTGGGACTAAATTCTTGCCCAAGGAAGCTGGGAAGAACTGTTGCTTTTCTTCTAATGATATGTCATGCACTAAATTATTTTCTTTTAATAGGTTAAAGACCTATACATCCACACAGAGTTGTTTTCTGTAGAAAATGGACTCTTGACACCAACACTGAAGGCAAAGCGAGGAGACCTTGTCAAATACTTCCAGAAGGAGATTGAGGCCCTCTATTCATCTACTCAGGAATAAATAGCCAGTTTAACTTAAACTGCATGGAGTAGGTAAATCTGTGACACTACATGGCCTATGGTGAAGACAGGCCTGAGTGGAGGGGAACAGGAACTTAAATTGATTTGTTTCTAGTACCTGAGAAAAATGACTTGTGGATGAAGATGGCTGTAGTATAAGTGACACCTAGCAGTGTTAACATCCTGTGGGACTAAGCATCAACTGTCTAGGCTAAGCCAGAACATTCGTCTTTCTTGAACTGTGACTGAAATGCAGTAACTTGCAAGAACCTCAGCCTTTACAAGACAGCTGTATGCACTTCTCACTGTCAAAAGCAGATCTTGTTTTCCTGCTGAAACTACGAACTCCACTGTGACCTGTTGTGGACTGATCTGCAATCAGACTGAACACAGTATGAATTCATGGTAACATGAGTTTAGCAAACACAGAAGTGAATTTCCTGTTCCTAGTCCTGGACCACATGGTACAAGTTGTTTATAATGAAAATGAGTAATCATTTGCAAAATACATTTGCTACAGCAAATGTTCATTCTTTAGGAGGCACTGGATCAGTTTTTGCACATTTCCAAATGAAATGGCAGTATTAAAGCCTTTACACTTACAAATTTGAGCCTAATAAGTGTAAAACTTTAACTGTCAATCCTAAGGATATAGGATGCAATAAATTGAGACTGCACAATCAAATTAAAGCCTGTGTGAATTACTTGTGGCTCTGCTGCAACCACGTTGTCAGCTGCCTGGCTCTGTATGACTGCAGCTAGAACACAACTGCTGCAGAACATTAACTTGTTCCCTGCACTGTCACTGGTCAGCCACAGCTCCAGCCATGAGGCAGTAATTTAGTGTAGTCCAGATTTGCTCCTGTAGTATAGTTGCTCCTCTACCCAACTTTCTTTTCCTTGTCTTCAGCTTAGGCTGAGGTGAAAGAATGAATGTACCACATGAAATAAGATGTGAGATTTTCTTGTGTTGAGCTGCCGCTTCAGAAAATGATTTAAGCAAGATGAAAACTTTCTTGTGTCTTCCATCAGTCTGTGCTGTCTCTTCTGAGAGCTCCTCCCTGTCCCTGCAGTAGTCAGCTCTAGCAGTTCAAAAGGCAGTGCTAACAAGGATGCAACATGGGGAAGGTGTACCTGTAGCTTTCCTAGGCCAATTCTCTTTGTCTGCAGACAAAAGTTGTCTTCCCTGTCTTGTTCAGACAGCTAGTGGCTTTTCCTCTCCCTCTCTAATGCTCTTGCTCAGCTATCCCAAAATGAAAGCAAGATTTGTCAAAAGATCCCCCTCTTGCTGTTAGGCAGCTCTAGCTTTGACTAGTAAAAACAACCGACCCAATTCTGTTTCTAGTCTGGGACCTTGACATCTTAGGGTAACCGTTGTGTCACTTACTGTACTTGTCAGAAATGTGAGGCTATAAAGGCTTCCAAGTCTCTGAAACTAGGTGTAAGGATGTTGCTTATCTTTCCGATCCTTTCCTTAAAGCAATGTGACATGAAAGTCAGTGGTGGCCTAATCTTTTTCTCTGGGGGAGACTGGGGAGAAAAAAAAAAAGAATCAGGGAAGAAGAAATGTATGCCACAACTGCTTTTGGACACAAAAATGAGCAAGTTACTTGGCAAGAGTAAATCCAGTGATACTGAGTTCTGCAGAAACTCGAGGCTGAATCCTGTGATGCCACCTGCTGCAGTGCCTGGAAAGTACTTCTGTTGATACAATAAAGTGATGCTTCCCTTAACAGATACGCTTGGAGGGTGAATAGCACTGCCTCAACAACAAAACATATATAGCAATTCAAGTATCAGTTTCATATTGGTCTCTTGTGTGGCACTTCGGCCACATGAACTGATTTTCAAATCCTCTCAACCTGGCTGACATGTAACTCTACACTAGGAGAGAACAAAAGCAACTGCTGCATTCTGGAGACATTTAAAAAGCTTTGAGCTGGTACAAGTTACTCTGATTTAAGGTCTTCCTTCTAATAATTCATAGCAGATGCTAAATGAATTAAAATGCTTTAAGAAGGCTGTTAATCATTAACAGCAAAATTCACAAAAATTTTTGCTCTTGAATACTGGCTCAGATTCACAGGGAACACACAGTGGTGGATGTATTTTTTGCCATTAAAAGGATAAAATATTCCTATTGCAATAACTAAAGCCTTTGAAAAGCAATTTACAAGGCTAAATGTTTACTTCCCAGTCAGTTCACACTCCCATGCCTATGAACTAGTTCTTCTAGGTCTAAGAACAACTGAACCCACAAGTGAATATGAATGTATCATTTATTTGAGGTGGACAATTCACATAATTAAAAGTCACAAGTAACGAATTTTATCTGGAATTTGAATCAGGTGTTTATTCCCAGGGGCAGCTTCAGAGGAATACAAAAGATAAGCAGCACGCATAACAATCAGATGCGGCTGAGGAAAAAACCTAAAATCTTAATGCTCAGAATGTAATTTAACAGAAAAAAACAATCCTGACTTGTGATGAAAAAGATGCACCTTGAAGGCAATCCACTGAATGGCTTCTTCAATTATTTATTGTTTAAAAAGTATGCAAACCATGGCACAGGCATATACAACCCTTTCAGCAGTGAGGAAAAGAAAACCTCGTCCTAACATATTCATTGCATAAGTCTAAAGTAATATACAGAAAATTTCAAGTAAAGGATTGTGGTCTGAAGTAAAAATTCCATTTAATATTTAAAAAAATTAGAAGGCTATTTGCTTTTCTTCTCTCCATCCACTGGTTGATCCGTTTCAGAGTCATACTGGTATTTTTCCACACACTTCCTAGGGAACCAGCCTCGTTCTCTTATTCCACCTTAAGACATGAAAAGTTGCATTAACTTAGAACAAAACATGGCCCACTACTGAGGAAAAACACAAGACTGGAAGGACATCAAGCACTTACCAAAGTTATTTTCTTCTAAAAGACAGAACATCTAAGTAATTTCTAACATCATTGCCTGGGGAGGCATGGATTCTCTCCAACTACCTAAAATGTTTTCAGACATCTCCAAAGTTTTGCAGTGCTCTACCTTTCTTGAGAAAATTCATCTTCATACCCTATCTGAATCTTTCTATCTATCTATAAAACAGGTTTCCAGCTCCTTTTTCTACACAGCAATGGCACAGGAAGCAGGTAACAAACTTGTCTACCACAGACTTTCACACAGCTGATGACTATTTGTTCATACCCAGGCTGTCTCTCATGTCCTACTCCTTTCCAGGTAAACTATCACAATTCTTTTGGCTTTTCCTTATAACTCACATTTTCTATTACTGTAATTTGTCTCTGTTTTCCTCTCAACAGTTGATCTTCCTCTTTCTTGAGATGCAGTAACTGCTTTTACTTGTATGAGTATTTCAGCAGTGTCTCTGCCAATTCTGAGGAGGATGGAAGATTTATTTCAGCATCTGGGAAGCTTGTGCAAATATGAAATGCACATGGAATGAATTAACAGTTGCTTGGAAGAAACAACAGAATGCAACATACCCCCTGGCAGGCAAAATTTTCGTTTAGTCCAAAGCAAGAGGTCTAAAGTCAAAAATGTAAAAGCTTCAATGCAGGTGGCTGTGATGCTGACCTTCTGCAGATCAGCAGGAGTCTTTAATACTTTCAACACCCCCAGGTAGTTTTATAAATGCATATTAAAGTCTCCAGAAATTATTCCAAACAAAGACATGATGCCTCCTAGTTTTTAAGATACACAAGTATTAATCTCTATAGTTATACAGAGTGTGTAGGTAGGAAGCCTGGATTTGTTTAAGACAGACCACCATTTAAATATCAAAAAATGAATAATCCTTCAACCTCTTTATGGTCTAAAAGTCTAACTTTTCCTTAGAATATGAAGTTTCAATAAACTACTATATCAGTATTCTGTCAGTGTGACAGAGTGAATTAATGTTTATCAAAACTGGGAAGTCTGTTAGATGTAAAGAATAAAACCTGTGGAGAGTGCAGAGAAGCTAGTGCCAGTGATGTTATCCTTCTACATTTTGAGAAATAAACATACAATATTGGCCACATTTCTAGATAGCTATAAAACTGATTTGCAATTTTCAAGAGAAGAAATGAAATTAACTGCTCCATACCATCAGCAGCTGAGATGAGAATCTTCTCACCATACATCCAGTGTCTGGGGAAGGAAGTATAGTAGGTAATTAGATGCCAGAACTCAACCCAATACTTCTTTTAACCAAATATAAGGGTGTGGAACCACTAACTTTAAGCCTCTGGTGGCTAAAATCAGATCCCCTTTACTCAGTGCAATTCTAGGTTCTTCAGTGCACGGTGTTGTGAAGAATGTTTTAACACCTTTAGTCACAGGGCAGCAGACACCACTGTAATCTTCTATGGCTCGATACCGCACCTACAGATTGGAACAGAACACAGAAATTTGTTTTTTGAAGGAGTTATGGCCCTACTGATTAGTTTAACTCTATAAAATTCAATTCAAGCATACCACAGATTTAAACATAATGACAGTGGCTGTCAAATGGACTCTAAATTCTAAATTACTGCTTAACAATGAAGCACAGTCCTCTTTATTATCCTGTTTTTTCCCATCTGGAAACTAAGAAGCAAATGCAAAGGCTGAGTGCCAAGATTGATTAAGCAGATTGCTTTACATTGTTTGTGTAGTTTAATCACATTTATTTATATTGCTATTTCTATTATTTCAAAATAATTTTAGACCAAACTTCAACAAATACTTACACTTCTTACTCGCTTGTCTGCTTTCTGTTTCAGTTGCTCTATCTATAAATGATTATAAATAGAAATTTAGGCAGCATTCAACACAAAATGAAGCCAGGTATTGAGATCATTCAACAAACACAGGAAGTACCATTAGCAGTTTGAAACACAAACAAAAGCATAACTTTTTAGTGCATCAAAAATGGGAGCACATTTAACAGAACTCCAGTACATGTATTTCAAGCCTGTCTATTTTAGTTATTAAAAACGCTGGTCTATTATTGCAAAGGAAAGCAGACAACTGGATAGTGGGGAGAATCAGCTTGAGACACCACTGAAGAGCAGTTACCGTCAAACTGTACTGGTGACATCCATCTCTAACTGGCCAGTCCAGGCCATCTCCCTCAGGAATCCCAGACCATGTAAACACTTGCCTGAAGTTCTTCCATTTACTTCCCATATCATAGGGGAAGATAAAGGTCTCACCCGTTTGGTAGTACTGGATTCTGTCTTTGGCCTAGAAAATAATTAAGAAATGCAGTAGATAAAAACACCCTACACACTGCAGTCAAGCAGCTCATATTAAGAAGGCTGGGTCACAAGCCCTGTATGGGTCCATGGGACCTAAAGGCAAATATTTTCAGGCAAGAGTAGTGAACTCCTGCTATATCAACCCAGGCTTTAAAAACTCCTTAAAACAATCATGGCATTCAGAAGGATGTCTGGTTTGGGTGTCCCCATCCCTCATTTACCCTTTAACAACAGAGTCCACTGACTACACTGATAATTCCCTCCACGCTCCGATCTCACTTTACTGCTTTATTTTAGGGACCAATGCCTGGCTATTTCTCAGTTACACACAAAAGCTTCCATAGCTCAGAACCGTCTGACTAATGATCACAAACATGACTCAACACTGGTAGTGCCAATTCCTCCTCTAAGAATGCACACACAGGCATGATCTGAGCTGCCCACATTCCATAGTCACGAGCTGTACATTCCCACAGTTCTGATGACATCTAGTGGAGAGCCACAGAAGTGTGTTCTGTTTGTTGCAATGCCATTTTATTCAATATTTATGTATTACAGTCCATGCTCAGCTTTCAAAAGGGACACATTAGCAGACTGTGTTTTACAGTAAAAATTTTAACGTATTATTCCAAATTTTACAATGTAGTGATAACAGGGATTTCTTTCACTTATGTTCCATCATTCCACTATTCAAAGGTCTAACAGGACTTGGATCCAGCCACATCCCATGCAAAGAGTTGACATTACAAAACTTTAAGTACTTATACATAGTCAAGATTCTCCTGCTAATTTGGCACACAAAATAAAAGAAAGACAACAAGACATTAATGAAATGTCTGCGGACTTACACAAAAACTACCAGGTAGAACCAAACTAATTTCTAAATACTGAGTCACTTTTGCTTCCTCTAAACTTAGCTTCTGTTGCTTGACTATATTTCTCCTGAAAAATCTTGTGAAAACCTTTATAAAGATACAGAGATCCAAGAGAAATTTAAAGGACAGAAGACTAGATATTTTCTAGCACTTCTTTAAAACCAAGGAAAATCCTCCCTTACAATCCAAAGTAAGAAATGGGTAAAACCATGAGTCAAAAGATGCCACTTGGACTGGGTCACTGAGGTGGACAATCTACATCTACAGGCAGATGTAATGACTAAGACAGCTCAAGTTCCAGATTAACACACCCACATATTTCAAGTAGGAAAGCCTTTTCAAAGCAAATATTATTCTGTGTTCAACAAATTCCTCCAAAACAAAAGAAAAATCTATGCATTTACTTGATTTCTCATTTCTTTCAGTGAATTTCAGAGATGGTAAGGGAAAAGCTTGTTGTAGGTGTTAGGTCAGCGGTGAATTGAAATAACATTTTTGGTTTTAATCCAGAGATGAGACAAAAATTATAAATACAGAAAATAGACTTTGTAACAGTACAAGAATACTGTGTTAAAAGCATACCTTTTCTTCAATCCAGGATTCGATTGAAGTTTTATTTGTCAAAATTACTTTCATCTGAAATAAAAGTGTTAGGTGAAATTAGGATTTATTTTCTGCAGAAACACATCAGCTATGCAAAGAAAGCTTCATTTAACAAACTAAACTTGTTTTAAAGAACAAAGCAACTGAAACATTTGTTAGAAGCCAACCCTCAGCAGAGATAGACGATCTAGAATTACACACTTAAGACAGTATCACACAGTATTGCACTTTATGCTTAAAATGTGTCTTTTTGTTTCCTTCCAAAGGTCTCCAACATTTTAAGAAATATATCAGGCATATTTACACCTATTTGCAGGAACAGGGCAACTATTTTGCCTTTTTCAGAGAGTTTATAAAATCCATCTCATGTTTTCTTAGTTCATTAGATTTTCACATCCAAGTCCTCCCATGAAAAATAATGAAAAAACCCCAAAACTGTGGTAACAGAAAAACTAGGACAAAGCTACATAAATCCCTGGGAAAGTTATACAACATAAGCTCTGAACAACTGTTCTTATCTCAATTCTGAACTGTTTCTGCTCCACAAGCACACAGAACTCATAGCTTTTAACTTCTTTGTAACAGAGCCATAGACTCACCTGGATAATAAACAGCATACCAACAGCAATAGTTGTTCCTAATGCCAGTCCTAAGGCAAATAAAGATGCAGCAAATGCAGACAGTCCAAAGGGAATAATGGGACGAGGGTCTCTTTTGGCTGCACTCATGTCAATCTTCACAGAACTCCACCCAAAAGATATCTGCAAAGAGGAAAATTCCATTCAGCTCAAGAACTTTCCAACTGCTGAAACAAATCAAGTTATCCCTATGAAATCTGGTTCTGTAAGTAAGTGTCCAACAGCTGACAGAGATGAAGCAAAGTAACCAAAAAAAAATGTTCAAAAGAGATGGAAAATGAAACCACAGTCACCATCTTGCAAGCTCCACAGGCCTGTTCAAAAGACTTATCTTCAGAAGTTGCTGCTAGATGGAAAATGAAACCACAGTCACCATCTTGCAAGCTCCACAGGCCCAAAAATCAGCAAAAAAATCTGGACTCTGGTATGTTAAAAAACCCACATTCATCAGTGTCAGATGGACAATGTTTGCATAGAACAGTCCCCGTTTTCCGTGGAAATGCTGCAGGTTTTCTCTGAAAGCTTTGCAGACAGCAATTGTCAACATTATCCCTCTGCAAACACAACTCAGCTACTACAAATGCAACTTCATCTGTTACACTTGTGATGTCATCAAGCTCTTCACTGCAACCACAAAAGCTGAAATCAAAGCCTAGAATCTCAGCCATGGATCTGAGATCAGGGATGTATTCCAGAACAAGCTTTACTCACTGTTGAAGTTTTCCAGTTAAAAAAAGCACATCTAACATATTTATCTTTAGCCTCAAAAATAATGTACTTTTTTCTTGAAGAAATAGACACAATTCAAAAAAAGTGGCCAGTAAAAGAAAATAAATAGGATCTAACTTGTGTGTTGGAAATAAATAGCAGCTGTTTTCTTTGTCAGCCAAAACACAGCCTCTCTCTATATAAATACAGTACTACCCAGAAACTGTCTTCAGCCAATGCAAAGCAATAGGAAACTCCCTGTGATTATGAAAAGCAACAGAGAAAAAAAGAATGAAAATAGAAACAGCTTTCTCTGAATCCTCCTCCATTCCCATAAATACATCTTATAGGTACACAACAGAACTAGGAGTGCATGTGGAAAGGAGAACAAAGAATTCCACATGCTTCTTCTCAGAAAACCAAATTCTCTCATACTTCCAGAGATAAATTATGCACCTGACTTAAATAATATTTTAAGCATTTAGTCATGTTTTCTTACTCTGTTGTAAAGCTGAGTGTACATTGTCATAATAAATATGAAAGAAGCATGAATGCATCCCAGTGGAGCTAAGAGGAGAAACAGAGTGAAAGATGCATGATTCTGGTATCCACAACAGTTGTTGATCCAAGGACAGTGGTGATCCATCTTCATCACACATCTGTGAATAATAAATATTGATTAATATAAAGGACACATATGATGTTTCTCAAAAAACTCAAAGGATGGCTGATTTTCTACTTCTCAACTTCCTTTCTTTCATTTGAACCCACCAATTTCTGACAGATCAACACAGTAGTTTCTTTTCAGTTGCTATTCAGAATTATATTTCCATGTTATAGAATTTTGAAAAGCAAATAAAAAGTGCATCCAGGTCCTACCCTCCTCAGTTATCTGTCCTCCTCTTTACTCAAACTAACTAGTTGCTAATAATCACCATAGTACAGAGCCTGGAGACAGAGCCACAGAATGGGACTTGTAAGAACTATGATCACAATAATTAAGCACTACTGTTAATGCCAGTTTTTAAAAATCAGAATACCAGGAAAATAAAGGAAATATCAAATTTCCTGTGAACTACTTGTAGAAAGAGTATTTAAAGAAAGATAGAGAGAAGTGTGATAGTGACTCTTTCTTTTCAGTGGTAAACCCTCTGAAAGCTTTCTCAATTGCTATGTATCCACCTCACACCATTGAAAATCCTTTTCAAAATACATTTAACATGTGTAAACACCCTAGAGACACTCTTGTATTCAATATAAAGCCAGTTATTTTGGTGTAGCTTACAGATGCAAAAAAACACCACCTGAGTAAAGATTTGTTCACATTCCAAATTACCTTGACAGGTGTAAAAGTCTATGTGACTACCTAAGTGATCAATCCTCAGTGTAAAGATTGTCATTCGAGGACAAGAGTCATTAGTTTTAAATCTGGGGATGATGTAGCCAAATTACAGAACTGCTCTGAAGTTTCAGTTTCTGTTTCCTAAAAAAACACTGCCTGCACACCTTGGGTTTATAGAAGTAACAAATGAACATGTATGTTGCAATATCCTTTCACCACACTCTCTTAGGAGTCCTTCAGAGGACAACCTACTTGGACTGCACACAGCTGAAGTGCCTTGATTTTTTCAGGATGCACTAAATTCTAGTGACAGCTATTTATAATAAAGTGTCCTTTGTATCAGGACCATTGTGTTGGAAGATAACAAGGTGCAAACTTCTTAAGTTGACCAAAGGGTTTATTACTTCACTTAACATGCCAACTCCCACTCAAAAACCCACTTTGGTGAAGAGTGAAAAAAAGCAGTCCAAAATTTCCACTCAAATCAACATTTAATTCCCATTTGGAAAGATGACAGAATAGATATTTCTACTCTAAGCAGCTCAATGTTTGGACTCAGAATTGTAAAAAAATTTCAGATAACTTTTAGGTATTTACAGACTCACATCCCTGAAGCAGGACTGCATTGTTTTGTTAGTACCATCAAGAAACTTTTAAGAGAAACTGATTTCAGACTATAAAGGAAATGTTAAAGACAGTAATTTTTCTAAACTACAACACAGCAAAACTGTATAGCTATCATACAACTATAAAGTGGAAACACTTGAAAGGGCTATAGTGCTCATATGGAAGCTTTTTAAACATCTACAATGCAAGTGCTGGAAGCACAAATTATGGTAATAGCCCATTATTAGATTTGAAGCTGCTGTAAAATGGACTTTCAACAGTTGTGAAGAGGAACAGTACCTGTTACACTTCCGACAGTGATGTGAGCGAGGTGCCTTGTAAGACTGACACACTTTACAGTATTGGAGATACATGCAATCCTGAGATTTTTCCTTTAAACAGAAGAACAGCAGTGTTAGATGTATACACAACTCTGCTGGCAATGTTTATCTTGGCATTTCCCTAACTTTTGATTCCTTCTGACAGGGTGTGTTTCATGGTCCAACCCTATTTAATGGTAGGCGTCAAGGAGAGGAAAAAACAAAATTAAATAATCTCCTAGCTAATCTCTTGGCTGTTAACATAGCCATCTTCCACTGCTGAAAGTGCTGGTTACTAAAAGAAATAAACAGTTCTTCTGTCAGGAAGAGCAACTGTACAAGCAGGATTGAACAGTGAAGTTCTGAGAGTAAAAGTTAGCATGTTATTGTTGTAAAAAAAAAAAATCCTGAGCACATTTTCTCTCCATTTTACACAATAAACCACTCTAAGCTTACTGCTCAGATACAGCACTGGTAAACACTAATGTTCAACTCCCTCACAATCTCCTTTACACACACACACACCTTAACTACAGCAAGATGAGAGACAGAGACACTTGTAGACAGAAAGCAGTGGCCAAAATCTTGCACTCAGGAATTGGAGCACCCACTTGTCCTGCTAAGATGATTATCAGGATCCTCTTCTGCACAGACTCTGTCCTGAGTTAATATTCCACAATTAGAAAGGTGACCAGCACTAAACTGCATCACACCACTGGAACACAAACTCTGGGCAGCTGCCTTGGGATACTGAACCTGTGTCATTCTTGACTACAATTCTTCCAAGAGATTACTGAAGCACAGGAAATGCAAAATTCTATCTTGCACTGTGTTAAGCAGATGGCAACCATATAATTTTCTGCCTTGCATAAAATAAAAAAGAAATTTTCTAAATTAATTACTTCCAACTGTTACTGCTAGCAGCAAAATCTCCAAACCAGGTGTCTGCAGGGGCATGCAGATCACCTTGAAGTTCTCATTCTCAACTATCAGTGCTTCTTTTCTGCTGCTTTGCTTGGAGAAGCCCCTAATATAATAAAACTGCTGCCAGCCAAGCAGCATTACCAGAGCCCAGACAGCACAGGGAAGGGATGGAGAAGGGCAGCAGAACAGAACAGAGCCTTGGAGGAGCAGATAAAGGACGTAACCCAGGCAAGCAGGAAGCCCGCTCAGCTCTGCAAGGCTGACAAAGCAGCAGTCACGGAAATCAACAGCGCTGTGCTTGCTGGAGCTGGGGTCAAGGAACGGCCACCTGAAATATTACAACACTGGCCACTGAAGACCACCACAGGAGACCCCAAAAGGCCACATAAGGACTTCTCATAAGGAACCTGACAATGTAAAGCAAAGCACTACATATACACCACACATACATTAAATAAGTGGGGATGGCTAGTGAATGTGTAATCAGTGTGGCTGATAACAACTCTGTTTACCCAACGCTCGGCACACTAGATTAGAGGAAGGATACGATTAGAGGAAGGATATTTGAAGGCTAACAGCAAAACTGTGTTAGAAAGTTTCTATCTCTCTGATTTCGGTATCGGGAGCAAACTGGGTTGTACGGGAAACTCAGGAAGCGGCAAGAGCAAACCGGGGAGAGGCAAAGGAAAGATTTCGGAACAAGATAAGGAGGAAGGAAGGGCCTGAGAGCGAGCAGCGTTCCTGGGGGACAGAGGAGAAACAGAGGCACCGAAAGACACGCGATCTGCACTGTCCTGACCGCGGGGGCGGCCGGCCGGCCCCAGGGCTGCCCGCCGGTCGCCCGCGAGGCCCCGGGACGAGGCGGTCGCAAGGCAGCGCTTACCGGCGTCCACCCCAGCGGGACGTACCCGGGGCCCACAAACATGGCGCTGAAGTAGTTGTAGAGGATCATGACGGTCCAGTTGAGCAGCATCACGAAGTTGACGCTTCCCCCGGCCGTGTCCAGGGGCCAGTACCAGAGCGCGGCGTCGGCCATGGCGGTGGCGGAGCACACGGCCACCACGGCCAGCGCCACCGCCGGGCCCCAGTGGCACAGGCGCCGCGCCCGCTGCAGCGCGCCCGGCCCCGCCATCGCCGCTACCGCCGCCCGGCCGCCGCCGCCCCGCCGCCGCCGTGCATGGCTCCCGCCGGCTGCCGACGGAGAGGGCGGGAAGGGAAGAGGGAAGGGACTGGGAAGAGGAGGGGAGGGCAGGGAGGGGGAAGGGGAGGGCAGGGAAGGGGAGGAGCGGGGCGGGAGCGGGGCCCGGCTGCCGCCGCCCGCCCGCCCGCGGTCCGCTCGCAATACGGCCCCCCCGGGAAACAGCGGCCCGCCGGTAGCGCCGCGGCCGCGTTCCTCCCTCCTGCAGGTTACGAGGCGGGGCATGAGGGGCTGCGGGGCGGGAGTGACCCGTCGCTGCCGCCTCTCCTCGGTGCCTGCGGTGCGGCGCGATCCCGCGTGCCAAGACCACTCAGGGTTTGTCGGAAGGGCTGAGAGGGGCTGGGCCGTTCCTGTTAAATCGCCTGAGTTTCGGCGGAACGTGTGGCGAGGCGCCCGGGGGCGGAGAGGGGGACGCGTTTTGGTGTGGCAGAACGCGGAAGCGCCGCGGTCCGGAGCGGCGCCCCCGGCACCGGCAGCGCCATCGCCGCGATGTCCTCCGACTTCGAGAGCTACGAGCAGGACTTCGCCGTGCTCACGGCAGAGATCACGGGCCGCATCGGGAAGGTGCCGAAGCTGGTAGGAGGTGAGCGGCTGCTCTCCGCCCCGCGGCCCTCGCTCCGCAGGCCCGGCCGCTGCAGCTGCCGGCGGTGGGCGCGCAGGGCGGCGGCGGGAGGTGCCGGCGTGGTCTGAGCGAGCTCGCACCGAGGTGTCTCCAAGCTCCTTACGCAGCACAGTCACCTCCCTGCCCCGCGTCTGTCCCAGCAGCGAGCTGTCTCGAGACGCGTTAAGAATGCTCTGACAGTATTTGTGTGCTGGTCACCTGTGAGGATCAGCTCTTCCCTTCTGCCCGGCTCTGGGGCACGCGAAGTTACCCAGTGCGCCTGAAGGGCCGAGCAGACCTGGTGGGGGATGTTCCCCGTAGCAGCATTGCTGCTGAATCTTCTTTATTGTGATCGTGCCACGACATCACTAATGGAAATCAAGTGTTTTTCCTGTGGCACAGACGAATTTTTTGCACGACTTAATCTGAATCGGTATTTTTGCTGCCTACTCCTCGTACGTTTGATTTGGATAATTGACTGTGGTGACTCACAGGCAGGAACAGATTCAAAGAAATCCGTGTTCATTTACTTTAATGTGTTTGTCAGTAGCCTGCAGCGTTCATGGTCTGTTTCATGACGTATCCCTGCAGTAGAGTCAGTACTGTCTGTAAGACTAGAAGGTTGAAAATTTTAGTTTTGTTAATCAGCCCAGCTGAATCTTCCAGCACACAGGAATCAGTGCCCCAGTACAGGGCTCTGAGTGTGAGATGGAGGGAGGCTGACACTTGTGGTTTTTCCATCTGTTCCTCTTGTAGCTCAGCTTAATGCCTCTTCTATTTCCAGCTCGTTTAATACTTCTGCCTCTGCTTCCTATGCATATTACCCAAAAGCTTGGGACCCTTAACCCTAGGAGTGGATACTGTGTAAGAAGGAAGTAAACACATACTAATGGTGTACTTTTCCATATGACTAAAGGAAAAGGTATCATGCATCCAGGACCAAAGAATAGCATCCTACTTTTAGAGTGGGAAATGCATCATGAAGTGATGAAGTAGTGACTCTAAACAGGATTTGAGGTAGGTGGTCAACTAAAATGTGTGATCTCAGGGGGTTTTGAATAGAATATCTTTTTTGATTTTGGAAGGTTAAGTCCACTTCTAATCATAGCAAGTTAGAAAGTCTTCTGAAATATAGGGTTGAGTTCTATGGTTAAAGAAAACTATGTCTTTTCCTTGGCTTAACAAAGATGTTTTGCTCTTGATCTCAACAGCAAGGACACAAAGAGATAATTCAGTCAGAACCTGCAGCTGAGGTGGAAAAATTTGTCTATTTCGAATGGAAACTTACAAAATGAAGACAAGAGAAAATCAGAGTTCCTGTGATTGAATTTTAGAACTGGTGTGTAATTTAATCTGCTCAGAAATTGTATTTAACCTGTAAATGGCCACTGGAACCATTTACTGAGGTGATGCAGGGAATCCTTCACAAAGGTTTCTTAACTTCTGAACAGTACATTTAAAGACCTCTGGCAGGAACAGGGAGACATCATAAATACACTACTGGTTCATCCTCTGAAAATCAATAGTGCCAGACTGATTTATAGGAACAGAGAGATTTAATTCCCTAATTGTAAAGAATAGAGATTTGAGTTCCTTATTGTATAGATTTCGGAAGTCATCAGAGTCTGTTCAATAGTAGGAAGACTATTCTGCATCATAGTAGTGGATTTCCATAATCCTCTCCTTGAATCAGTCTCCCTTATTCACTTAGGGAGATTTTGGAGCTTAAATAGAAGATGTTTAAAGAGTATTGGCTTCAACAGTAACATAGCCTAGAAGCAGCAGGCTTTGAAATCATCACTCTTTTATGAAACCATTAGAAGGTTACTTTTTTAATAGAATTTGCCTCCTCTCAGAGGAGACAGAAGGCATGTTCCCTGCAGGACCAGGAATGTGGTACTTGGCTAAATGGGGTCAAGACAAAAGTTAATTTTTTTCCCCTCATGTTATATTTGTGGTTGGTTATACATGGTTTGAACTGACTTGCATTACAGCTGCTTCTTGCACTGTACATTTATGGCTTAGCTATTGCTTCTGTTTTCAGGGCTATTCTGTCTTTCATCAGGAAAAAAAATTTTCCATGACTTCAAAACAAACTGCAGTCTTAGCTAACAGAGGCATTTGACCACCTGGAAAAAAAATCTCTGATTATGCTGAACACTTTATCAGAAATATTTTAAATACACATTTTTCCCTTGTTTCTTAATAGGAATATTTGCAAGATCTTTGCTTCTTCATCACCAGAAGTTCCAGTTAGTTCTTGTGGCGCTGACTGGGAGAGCCTCAAAAAGAGGATTATGAGGTGGGAGGGGAGCTGAGGTGACAGTTTTCAGCAGCAGTGATTTGAGAGAGATTGCTGATGGCCTTCTTCCTCCCCGCTGGAAGAAGCAGGATGAAAGGTGTAAGGACTTGTGCCACTCTGCATAATAAAGAGAGATCTCCTGAAGTCTAGTGACTGGTTATTTCCCTCTGCTGCCCAAGATGGACCTGCTCTAATGGAGAAATGCTGCTTAATTGGTTTTGCAACATTCCTGCATTCCGTGTTGTCAGGACATGATGCTGTCCTGTGTTCTAAGAGGATGATGGCTCAGCAGACAATCCTGTTGTCACAAATGTATAAGTAGTTCAGCAAGAAATGTAACTAAGGCTCTCTGATATCACAGAAACAATAAGCAAGAGGGACAGTAGAACATCTTGGGAAGAAATGTCTTCTGTTGTTGAGGCAGACATCCCCCTGGGAATTAAAGAAAGTTATAAATAGAGAAATGCCTTTTAAATAGATTTTCTGTGATGCTGCTGCAGGTCTTTGAAGAATGAAGATCATTGACTGATGTGTTTTATTAATGCTCCTTGGTGTTTCAGAGAAACATCTGTCTTACGATTTGACCAAAAATTCATATAAATTTTGATTGCTTGACATGAAAGAGAGTTTTATCAGCATGAATGGTGATACTTAGTCCATTTTCAGCACAGTAGCCTCTGGTTTGTGATGTATTTGGACTGGAGTGCTGCCATTCTTCTCATACTTGGTACCTGCATTTTCTGCTGGGCAATCAAAGTGCTGCATTTCAGTTGCAAGCAGGTTTAGCTGAAGAAAGCCCCACCTTTAATTTTCTGTTGTACTCCTGCACTGAAGTTTACTGTCTCAGTTTCAGGTCTGGCTCATTATGCTATCCCTCTTGAGCACAGTTTTAGAACCCAAAGAGAGAAATGCATGTACTGTTCCATTTGTCTCTGCTGTTGGACAGTAACTTCTGGCGGTGGTGAACATGTAACCACCTGAGGGAGCACAGCAACATCTGCAAGTGGTCTGTGAGCTGAAGCCCTTTGTTACTCAGTCTCCTCAGCATGTACTAATGAAAAGAAGCAATTCCATGAGCAGTGGGACTAAGTCTTGATCCAGGTTTTTTTGAGATCAAACCAGTGCTGTGTTATCTTTCCAACCTTGTAGACAGATTCCCACCTTTCTGTAACTGCTGTATTTTGGGAGACAAAGTGTCTAATGCCAGGGCAAAGCTGAAGGAATGGGAAAATGTAGTGAAACTTCTTTCTTTTAAGAAAGTGATACAACCTTGTGTACAGAGAATAGATTTGTTTGCAGTCCTACACAGAGGAAACCCGCTTTTTGTTTCCAGTCATTATCCATAGTTTGTCAATTTCACCACTTAAATGATACAAACTATGTGGAATATTTTGTTTGGGATGTTATGTCTAGCAATGTAAGGAAAAAATTACATTTAGATATATTTGATGGCGCATTTTTTATTTTCTGTGAAGGATATTTGAGTTCTCAATCAAAACAAAAAGTTATAAAACAATTTTTTCTTCATTTCCTGTGAAAGTATGTATAAGGAAATGATTGAGTAGGCAGCTTGAAAACTGCTAACTCACAGTGGACTAATGCAGTTGGTAATATGAACATCTTTAATTAGACTGTAACTTGTTTGTCCTGATCTACTTGATTAGTGGCAAATTTCTCTTACCCAGAGGAACTCCCTTGCATCTCACTTTCAGTCTCTGAGCAAGCCATCCTGTGAGAATTGTGCCCCCCTTCCTATGGGGATTCTGGTTGTGAAATAAGTTGTTTCCTTTGCTTAACCACTGAAGTAAAAGTAAAACTGAAAAGAAATGCTTTGGAAACCATGGTTACATGGTATTGTGTACCCTAGAGGATCAGCAGTTGCAACAAGTTTAGCTGCTCTCCTGGAAGCCTGTGAAGACCCTGCTCCAGAGCTGCAGTGCTGGGGTGTTGCCATGTGCCTGCTCACATATCTGTATTTGAAGGAAAAACAAAGGCAGCATCTGGGTGATTATGTACCTGGGCCAGTATTAAAATATGGGTTGGGTTAAAATTTAATCAACTAAACCATTAGAGATCATTTGAATACCCTTTCCTCCTAATTTTATGGGAGCAGTTTTAGCTGGACCTTCTGTACTAGTGAGTTTTCCCTACAAAAGACCTGTAGCTAAATTTCTCTGTGGGTCAGTAGGGTTTTACTGGCCAGTGGAGTGCTGAATAGTTCTTGTAATTACAAGTACAAGCAGAATTTGCTCAGCATGAAATACCTTTCAAAAACCCCCAAATTAATATCCCTAAATTTCAGGTTACTAAATATGTATGAAAATTGTGATCCAGTACAACTCAGGGAAGTACTGAAAATGCTATAGTACATTTATTTTCTGCTGCTGTATTTTAAAATTTTATTTCAGCTTCAATAAAATGGTGTTGTGTATTTCATACCTTCCATTGTTTTTATTTTCATCTGCTGTCATCTTGCTGACTTCCAAATGAAGGAAAGAACAGAGGTGTTTTGGGATATGAGAACAGAAGTGTATGGGGGAGCTGGGGAAGGGGCAGATTTCTTTTGTTTTTTTTTATGTTAGGAAGATAAAGTGCTGAATTTTCTGGCCTGGGTGCTGTCTTGAGAACCTGGTGGGGAATTAAAGGAAGACATTGCCTGCAGCAAACTGAAGTGCTACACAGAAAATATTTCCTGCATTTTCTGCTGTGGTAGAATCCACCAGACGTAGCAGCGTGAATTCCAGATTTGCAGGAAAGATGGTCCCAAGCTGATCCTCTGTGCAGGCAGAGCTCCAGTATATGTAACTGAGGAAGGACAGATTGTGATGTTCCTGTGTCCTTGAATGACAGTGTAGAGTATTTTAGGTGAAGAGATGATAGATGGATAGGCATTTCAGCCTGTGAGAAGCTGATTTATGTTCCTTTATTAAAGTGGTCCTCTCATGAAATTCAGTGGCTTGTGGAATGCAAAGGATCGAAGGAAATCATCAGATTGTCCCTTTTGGTCTTTAATGTATCAGTTCCAGGATACACAGAGATCATGTGGAAGGGAGGCAAGGGGATTCAGACTTAAAAACAAAGCTCTGAAGTTCAGAGGTACATAATTAAGTCTTGTGCCAATGTATACTTGTCCATTGTGACCTCTGGGGAGCTGTGACTGGAGAAACTTTGGTGGCATTCACTTTTTATCTGCTTCATCAGGCAAACCACCAGTACAGATGTCTCATGATACTCCTGGTTTCAAACAAAGCATTTGTATGTTCAGAGTTCTCTTGTTAGCTTCATTGACACAACGGGCAGATTTAGAGTCTGAAGGCTGGAAGATGCGATGGTAGGATGGAAACCCTTGAATACCCACAGTAATGAAGCAGTGTGGGGACATTTTATTATTCAGCATCTGAATATTTCTCAGTCCCCTTTCATGCTGTAACAAACCAAGTTGTGAAGCACTTGTGATGTTTGTGATGATGTGACACAGTCTCAGTTCTCAGTTCAGACTGGATTCTCTGCCTGCAAATGGATGGTTGGAGGCAGGACAAAAGTCAGTCTCTGTAGCTGGGATATAGCCTTGCTGGGGAACCTGGCAGATGGTGATTGCTATGTATAGCTTAAAACATATTTGAATTTTTAAAAAATTCTATATTTTATTACTAATTTCCATTTTTGCTGTTACTAGAATACAGTGGTTTTCTTGTAGTTCCTGTGGCATTTCATTTTATATCTGTTGAAGCAAAAGAAACAATCCTAGGCCCAGCATAGGAGTAGAGGAATAGAAACATCATTCAGACTCTGAATTAATTTTAATTGGGATGCTTGATTTTGTGCATCTCATATTTTGCAAATGAATCTGTTCAGCCTTTGTTCTTGAATGTTTTTTCTTCCATTTAGTGTATGCATGTGCGTTCTCATGCATTTGTACACACCAACAAGTGCCTGCTGAGGCATAATTCCTACAGCTGAAGCAGCTGTAAGTATTTTCCTAGCTAGCAAATGCTGCATAACAGGGCAGAAAAACTTCAAGGATTCTCCAGTTTTTGTTTTTTTTTTTAATTACTAATGTGTGTATCACCATGTCACACAGAATAAATCTTGAGTCTGTTTTAGCTGATACATACAATCTTTTGAAATGGTATGTTTTTCTTTCATGGTAAGAGCACAATTATATTGATACTTTCACAATTCTATTTCAGATGAGAAGAAGCAGATGGTTGCAAATGTTGAGAAACAGCTTGAAGAAGCGAGGGAACTGGTATGTTCTGGCTTTTCTTATGTTAACTGCAAATTCCTAACAAAAGTAATAGGATCATTGATAGCAACATTTAACACTCATGCCCTAAAAATACTTAACAATGATACATTACAAAATGAAATAAGAGTCTTGAAATAGTTCTTATTTGAGGATATGAAATACAGGAAGAGTATCTTTTTTTAATCCTGTGTTAAGTGATGCAAGGTTTTCACTATTGCTGTAAGTCAATAAATAGTTACAGACTTAAGAGTTATGGATTAGGTCTTTAGGAATGGAATTAAATATTTACACACCATGACTTTGATTTTGACTTGTAAGACCCAAGCACCTGCTTAATTTAATCTAGAATGTCTTGTAGAGCAGTAGATCTTTTTCTCCATTTTAGCAAGTGAGACATAAAGGTGAGGACAAGGGGGCCATGGCAGTGTGAGTCACTGATCCAAGAATAGTGTAGCTGTTAACCAAGCATTAGTTTGTGGTTCACATTGACAAAAAAAATCCCATTATGTGACAAGCAACATGTGTTAACCAACTGTGACTCTCTTCTTTTGTTTATTTTGTTCCCATTATAGCCTGTAGTGTCTTCCATCTGGGAAGGGTATAAGAGTAAAGTTTTGTAGATGTGGAGTAATTGAGCAGAGATGTTGGTGACAGCTGAGATTGTCTTTTTCCCACATGGCCAATAGTTCCTTACCTGAAGTTGCTTTTGTTTATTGCTTGCAAATGGTTTGGTGTATCTAATGTCAGAAATGTAATGTGAATGTTAGGATAGGGAAAGAAATTAGCTTTTCTATCCTAGAATTTCTGGTAATGGAAAAAACTTGAATCAGTTATTTGGCTACTAACTAAACAATAAAATCAATTTTTTTTTAAGTTGCATAGGAAGAAAAATGTCTCTCAAGTGTTTGTAGGCATACATGGTGCTTTTGGTTTAAAAATAGATTTATTAGTCTTGTAGACCAGAGCATTGGAATAGCATCCAGTAAAGCTGGATCTTGGGATGACTTCCTGCAGTTTTGCCTTGTGAGGATGACAAGACACATAACCTCTCTGATTTGGTATTCCCAGTGAGAAACATGGTAAATTTATTGTCTCATCTCATGGGGATGTTCTGAAGATACATAAGGCCTTTTGGGCACTTCCATATTCAAACAGCTACAACAAGTAGAAATCTAGAAATGTTTTTCAGCTCATTTTCACTACAAGTTGACATGGCAAAAGACAGTGCAGCACAGAGAAGCTCCAGTGTGGGTAGTCATTCAAATTTGGTTTTCTACTCCAAGTAGATTGGAAGGAGCAGAAATTGAGTTAATGGCTTCTTACTTCTCTCCTTATGTCAGGAAAAGATCGTCTACATTTGTATTTATTACAAGATTAAAATAAATCCAGTATTTTGTATTTTTATGCTAATGATGATCTTCATTTAATGTACTGGCTTTTCTTTCACACTTTTGTTTTAGATCTTTAGATTCAACTATTGGCTTTAAGCAATTACCCAACATGTTTGTGATTAATGTCAAGGCTTGGGTTTAGAAATCAATTTGAACAAACCTGCTAATAACAGAAATGATTAAGAGGATCCTATTTTAAACTAGAGGCTGCAGTAGAAAACCAAAATAAACCTAATTCTTTGCTGCTGATAGTTTTCATGCATTGGTTTGCTTCATTGTCTTGTGTAGTCAAAGCTGGGATTAGCTGATTTTTTTTTTTTTTTGTTTCCTACTTGGCTAGGAAATAACACTCTCATGTATCATAAATATTATTATAGAGATAATTTATTTGTGTTCACTAAACAGTCATGGTTTTAAAACACTGTCTGCTTTGTTTGGGTAAAATCAGTGGTGTAATTGATTTGTGTACAGAACTGACATGAAAACTTTCAGACTCCCAGGCTGTCTTTTCAAGCCAGAGCTGTGGAGTGAGAAATCTCTGGAGAGAAACCCTGTTGTTCTACATCCAATGTGGAGTATCTAATAGTTATTTTACCAGGTTTTCAAGAAAGGTGATTGTTGAGCTAAGCTTGGTCAAATTCTTTGAGTGTAAAATCTAGCATGTGCCGGAAGAATTGTGAATTTTTGAGTGAAATTCTGCTTCTAAGAAGACAAAACTCTCTGTTACTTGCCTTTATCTTTGATGAAGAACACATCACAAAGTTGTTGTGTTGCAAATGCTGGGTTATTCTTGTCCTGTGTATTTTTTGTTTAGGTCTTTATTTTAGTTCCAGGGCTTTAGAATCAGAATAAAATAGTGAATCTTACAAGTTTCTTAAAATGTAGCAGCTGATTCCAGAGCAGATTCATATGGAGAAGTTCCTGTGGGAGGGGGAAAACTTATTTTGGAGTGGACAATGTCAGCCACACTACTTTGTTGTAATTTTGAATGGAAATACGAAGGGCAGCTCTGCCTTTGCTTGTTTATGAAAAATATTATTTTATGACCAATAATATGAGTTCTGAAAATGGAGGTGCATGAAATTAGGTTGCATTTAGGTTCACCCTTGCTTGGACCACTATGTTCTGCATGGCTTCTCATGGAAATTTCTCAGCCCAGGCACAAAATGCACCATTTAATCTTTCTATGAAAAACATTGGTAAATATTGGTCAACCTAAATATGCTTCATTGTTGTTCCTTGGACCTTACACTCTCTAATATTGACTCTTTAGAATGAATATTTTAGATTTCATGGATCACAGACTGATTATTGGTGCAAATTCTGGATTTACTGGTATATGTTTTTGTTTTTATAGAACAGACAAGAATTGAGACTTCATTGAAATATGCATACACACACACACACATATAAAAATATATATATATATATATATATATATATATATATGAGGGAAATGTTTATAGAACATTTGAGATCAAATATACTAAGATGAAATCGATAAGAAATAAGCTATTAATTCCAGCTATTGGTTTAATTTATAATGCCCCTTTGTAAAGTTAAGCCTGAGCTAAAGAACTGGGTAGAATTAGAAATTGCTTTGTGTGTTTCAATTAATTAGTGACTATTTAATTAAAGTCTGCTTTATAGTTTATTATTGAATATAATTTTGTATAATCAGAATACATCAGGCAAAATTACTTTCGAGTATCTGGCAATTCCATTGATTAAATTCAGATGCTTTTCTTATGATATGAGGATGAAATTTCAAAGTGTAAGCAAGTGATTACATAGGAATAAATTCTATCAGTCCCTTGTGAATAACTGCAGCCAGTAGCCTGGGACCCTAATTGAAAAGCATTTCTGCTCCTATGCCATATTGTTCAACCAAGATCAGTAGGAGGTGAGTAAATATTGTTTCAGGTGCTTACAGCAACCAAGGAGAGGTATTCTTTTATCTTTTTTAAGTAAATTGGAAAGATTTTAAAGGCAGGTGTAGGATTCTTCTGCCTTTCAAAACAGAATTCCTGAACAGACAGCGCCACATAGAGCAGGCTCCAGGACCCAGTGGGCAGGTAATTAGCAGCCCTCATTTACAACTTTTGATTTGCTGTACCCTGCGCCATATTCTTGTACTTCAGGCCCCTTAGAATTCTACATGGCAAGAATAAAAAGCTTTTGAAGGATAGAATATATCTCTAATTTTTTAATCCATTTGACTCTATACAAGTTCTTGAATATCATTGTCATTGAACCTTGAAATTCAGCTATTTAATATTCTTACATATAAATTTGGGGCATAGATTTAGGTAGCCAGTTCAGGTTATGTAATTCTGCTGAGTTAGCAATGTTTAAAGAAAAAAGAATTAATTTATTAAACATAAGAATTACTTTATTAAACACACAGACTGGTGGAAAAGAAAACTTTACATATATATATATATATATATACATAAATAAGTAAAATACCATTTTCAGCCAACGGTTTCTGAAACTGCACAGCTAGGTGAAGGTAGGCTTTCTTTTGAACTATGCTTCTTTTCAGGAATTATCCTCACTTTTACTATTTTTTTTTTCCATTAAGATGTCTTCATCTCAGTTGGAATCGAAATCCAGAAATGTTTGGCTCGAGTCATTCCTTCTGAGTGTTAATAATACTAATATTGTCACTTGTTTCTTGACTTACAACTGTGCAAAGATTTTAATAAATTCTTTGTATATTGCAGAATAACCAACATTTTTCCTTATAAAGAAAGAATATTTCTTGAACTTAGGTATATTTCTTGAACTCAGGCAAATTTGTTCTTGCTTTAATTAACCTTTTGCTTTATATACCTCCTCTTTATTTTCACTTGTCAGCTTGAGCAGATGGAACTTGAAGTTCGAGAGATCCCACCTCAAAGCCGAGGGATGTACAGCAGTCGAATGAGAAGCTACAAACAAGAAATGGGAAAACTTGAAGCTGATTTTGTGAGTTTTTAACTTATTACATAAAGAAGGCATCTCTAAGAACTTTAAAAATAAAACAATGCAGTTATTCAGGCAAACAAGAGGGCATTTTTGACTAGTGTGAGAGATGAGTTCTGCATGTGTCCTGCTATGTATGTGGACAGATGAAAACTAAAGTAGGGAAGAGGAGCTTTTCTTTTAGCAGCAGTCCCATACCAATATTCCAGTTGCTAGCCTCCTGTCCCTTTACCCTGGAACTCTGTTTCTCCATCATTAGATACTGTGAGTGTTCATGATGTATGCAAAATAGTCAGGTTTTAATCCTATTTCTCAAGGAATGACAGCTTGTAGTAATGTGGGCAGTAACATGAAGGCAGTATAATCTCCAATCCATGGAATTTTTAAATGTAGTTTATCTCATGTGCACTTCATTTGTTAGTCACTGTGTTTTCTTTTCCATTGCACTTAGATTCTTCTTGGTTTTTTTACAAATTGGTTATAAATACTACATTTTTTTGAGTAATGGATGCAGACTAACAAGATTCCCTTGTCTAGGGGCTTCTGCTACAGTTATCAGTCCTTTTTTTGTGACTGGGATTTGCACTGAATAGATTTACATAGAGACAAAACTGTTTCCTGTAAAATCATGAAAAAGTTCAAAGGGATTGCAAAATGTAGGAAAATGCTATGTTAATTGGCAGCAGCTCAGTTCCTCCAGGGTAGGGAGAAAAAAATAACTAGTGGCAGTATTTTCCATTCACTGGAGAACTGTGAATTTCCTCAGGTTGCTGGCAGCAGTTTAATCCTTCAGGGGAGGGAAGTCAGTGTTTATACCTGCAGCCAAGAAATCCAGCTGACTGTCACTCCTCTGTGCTTCTGCCAAATTGAGCACTTGCACAAAAATGTATGAGAAGATGGTTGCAGTTGTAAAGTTTGAGGAATGTTAGAATAAAAAGACTTGCATCAAAATGTTGAGGCAGTCTCATCTGTTCCCCTGTAGGAATTGTGTGTGGCCAAACAGTGACTTCCCAGAGAGAGCAATTTCTGGACCAGTTGTGAATGCTGTTTATCTTCTCAGATGTGTGAGAATTTGCTGTCAGCATATATTTGTTCCTGGCCTATTTCTATATGTAGGTAGATGGTGGAATTCATACTTTCATATTCCCAGGCAAGTGAGAATGAGAGAGTTCAGAACTGAACACTGTATGGAAGAGGAGAAATGAGGGCAAGGAAATGCATCATAGCACTGGGAGTTACATGATCACAAGAACATAAGTTTGTGCTCAAAGTGAAGAAGCAGAAACAACATGAGAAAGAGGAAGGAACAGGTTGTAATAATGGATAGAAACAACAGCTCGAATCCAAGGATCTTCAGCAGAAGATCAAGGAAAGAAAATGATGTGAAGGATGAAGCAAAGTGCTGGAAGAAAACAACTGTGCTTGAAAAAAATCTCTTATATAGCAAATAGTGGTGTTACAACTAAATGCCTTACATAATTCCAGGTTCTAAGTACTAATATTTTTCTAATTTTGTACATAAGGATTTAAGACTCTTTTTGGATTATTATCCAGGAAAATAGCAACTTGTTGGAAACTATAAAACAAAATGAATGGCAAAAACTACATACCTACAGTCTTTTTCATTAAGTTCTGTATTTCAAATGTAAAGTGATGCAGAACCAGCACTGATAGTTTTATTTTCTATTCATTGATAACATGAGAATTGATCTTGTGATTATTTGAATGCCTTATAGAATCTGTAAATTTGCCCTTACCCAAACAGTTATGGAAAACAGCAACACAGCAACATGTTTACAGCTAGGAGAAGGAGACATGAGGTTTGTGGACTGTTCACTTGTCCATTCTTTGCTGGCAGGATGAACAGCATTAAAGTTTATTTTTGACATTTAATACGTAACTGGTGAGTTTATTTTATCTTGAGCAGCGTGTGTAATAATGAGAAAACGACATCACTGTAATATTGTTTATTAGGTGCTGTGGCATCTTTGTGAATATGTAGGATTTTTTCTCTGTACACTTTACTATGTTGAACTATATGCTGAAAAATACAGATTTAAGCTCTGTTGAGCTGTACTTAGAGAACTTACTCCAAACATGGATTTTCATCTCTAACTTTGTAATCAAATAGGAAAAAATTGCAAATATGAGATTTATTTCCTCTCATTGCTAATCCTTATTGGTTTGAGACCTGCAGTTAGGTGTCAGTGCTCTGCAGTCCAGGGGTGTGTGAAGGCAAAGGCACCCATGCACTAGATTGCACATGCATAGTTGGTAACACACTAATTGCAGTAAATAATATTCAAACAGTAAAAAACACCTTGTCCTGTCTTAGCCCTCTCTCTTGAAGGGGAACAGTGATAATGAAAAAAAGAACAGCTCAATTTTGTCTTTAAAAGTATTCAGGAAGCATAGCACTGTGAATACTGATAGGGAAACTGAGCAGAGTGAGCATTGCGCCTCAGCTTTAGGCAGGAGGGGTTGCTGGTGCTCCTCTCAGTGCTCTGCAGTCTTTCCTGGGGAGAAATACCAGAACAGGGCAGGCATGAACTGATGCTTCTCTGCAGAAAAGCTGCACACAACTCCAAAAGCCAACTTTCAGGCTTGTGATAAACGTACTGAAACAGAATGAAACTGTTTGATAAGTCTTATGCTGTCTTTTTTTCCCTTGCAGATGTAAATCTTGTGTTTATTATCTCATTTTCAATAGCTCATCCCAGGCCTTTCATTTCTGTAGGGGGGTTGGTCCCCGTTAGGTCAGGGAAGGACTGCAGCGCCCATGAACGCGCTGCTGGCTCTATCTTGTGGTCCCAAGTGGAGTTGCACATCACAGCCTGGTGCTTTCCAGGCTGCTCCACGGCTTGGGACTACCTGCCAAAGAGTTCCTGAACCTTAGAACAATCAACAATCTTCCTATCAGAAGTCTTTTTCCTGCATCTAGCAATGCACCACTGTGCAGTTTAAGTGGGCACGCAGTTTGTGGTGATTGGGATGGGGCTGAGTCAGGTGAGCAGCACTGACAGCAATGAGCCTGGAGTGCCCAGGGGCACTGACCAACACCAAAGGGAGCAGAGGGCACACAGGGGCAGTGCATCAACATGAGGGGATAAAAGGTTGGGCTAAAGAACAAGAAGAACAGATGCTTGCAGCCTGCTGAAATGATGTGGTGTTATTCTCTATGGGCCTGAAGCCTTCTGGTGTGGTAAGGTGTTACTCTGTATGGGTTGAAGCTTTCTGATACTGTATGGTGATGCTCTGTGTGTCATGGCCATCCCAACTGCAGCATGTGCTGTGGCATATGCTGTGACAGGTTTAGGCTTGTAAATACTTTTTCTGGCTGTTTCAGATGCAGTATGTCTATGGTGCCTACTTGAAGTTCTGATGGCAAAAAAAGTATTTTAAGTAAATGGACTAGAGGTGTTGTTTATTCATAGAAATAAAGCATTTATGTTAATTTTTACCTAAAAGCAGCCAGTTTTCTTTAGCGGGGATATATAGTGGTAAAAGGCTTCCAGATTTTACAAACACTACTGTGAGCTAAATCTATCCTAGTGCATGTGAAAATGTGACTCTATAAACCTAGCAAATATGTGGTTATTTCCTAGCATTTGTATCCATCCCCAGGGTTCCAAGTACTGACTCAATGTCAGGGCACCATAAAATAGAAAAAAACAAAGGCAGGCATTTATTTTCCTGAAAAGCTTACTGCTACTATATGAGGCATTCAAATAGATGAGGAAATATAAAAATCTTGTAAGACCACGTTGTACAGTAACATTTGTGTTGCAAAAATGAATATTGCATGATCAGTGTTGAAAGTAAGATGTGCATATTGAGAAAAAAGAAATAGCCATCAAATAAAGGAGGCAACATAGGAACTGTTTCTATTCTGTTGGCAGCACAGCGGTAAATCTTGCAGGTAGTATTTGTTATCAGTTCGGGAGACAGTGTTCATTCCTTTTAAATCCTCAGAATTGGTACTGATTTTAGTAATTCTGACTTTCAGTATAACCTTTAAAAGAAAAATAAAGGTGGGGGAGCTTTGCAGATTTGCAGATACAGAGATACATTGTACAAAACTTGAGTAAACATTTAAACATTGTTGGCATTTAACAATAGCTTCAGTCATTAGTGAGGTATGTATTTACAATTTATACCTCCTGCAGGTTATTTTTAAGATTACTGTTAAAACCTCAGCTGCTGTTAAGATTTAAAAACATTCAAGGAGATAACCAGTGAAATTTAATTGGTTAAAGTTAGCTCTGCTGTATGACTCTCAAATACCACCTGAGTCCAGAAGCTCACCTGAATAACTCATACAGCTGTGTCTGTTATGTTCTGGCTGTTTTTTGCAAATACCACTTCCCCCATTTCAGGTTCATTTGCCTACCCAGACAAATGTGGCTGTAAGCACATGAAAACATTTGTGAAATGACAAGTTGTTAGCTGTATCTTTATGGCCAGTTTTCCCTAGGTCTCCAGCTGCAACTAAAACTTGGAGACTCAACTGTTGCTGCTGGGTTATTTTGATTTATAAAGCAAATAGTGCAATAATGTTTTGTACTTACAAAATTGTGGAACTGCTGTGTTTATCTTAATTGTTGTATCCTAACAGTGCTCTTGAAAGCAGGGTATCTGTCATGCCAAAGTGTCATGTGTGCACAAGAACCTTGCCTGGGCAGGTACAGGTGCCTTTTGTGAAACCTGATCTGTTGACTCATTTAAAAGTTCTGAAATGAGATTGGTTTTCACTCTGTGAATAGTACAGCTCTTTTGAATGGGGCTGTGGAGGATTTGTTTTAATGCACACAAGGTTGAACTAAGTTTCAGAAGAAAGAATTTGAATTATCTGGCCATGTACTTTGACAACCTAATTTTGAAAAAGCATATTGTGAACAAAAGTTCCTTCACTGCGATTTTTATAGATACTGTCACCTTCTTGAGATAAGTAATCGCTCCTCTACATTCTACTCAAACTTCTCCTTACAGAGGTACTGTTTGTT